ATTTGAAGAACGGCTCGTGTTTGATTTTATGGAGCAACCTGAAGATGGGCTCCTTGAAGACGGTGTGAACCCCTCTGGACGAACCTCCTAGATGGGGTAGCAATCCCTTTCGGGGAATATCTTCGCGCTCTTTCTCCTTTCTCTTGGATTGGAGGGTTCGGCCTTTGCTGCTTCCCATCTCGTCCTCGACCCTTGAGTACTTGTTGATCCGGGTCATCAGTTCCCCTATATCCGAGGGAGTCTTCTTGGTCAGGGATCGGTACAGGTCCGTGTCCCTCGCCAAGCCGAGCCGGAAAGAAGCTGCTGCCATGACCTCCGAGCATCCCTCGACCTCATTGACCTCTTCCCAGTATCGGATGGCGTACTGGCGAAGAGTCTCAGATTCCCTCCGTCTGAGGGTCAACAACGATCCAATGTCCTTGGGGCGCTTACTCCCCGTGATGAATCGGGTTAGGAACTGCCTTGTCAATTCTTTCCAGGATCCAATACTGTTTGGGGGAAGCGTCTCGAACCACCTCATCGCAGAGTCCCCCAAGCTCATAGGGAACACCCGGCATAGAAACCGTTGGTCCGAATGATAGAGGGACATCATCTGTTTATATTGTCTGATATGGGCTTCGGGATCGGATCGCCCATCATAGGTTTTGAACCGTGGCACGACGAACTTTCTTGAGACATCCATCTCACTGATTTCCCTCGTGAAGGGTATTTGCATGACTTCGTCCTCGGCCTCGTCCTGGACAGTCTTACCCTTTCTTCTGGAGTCTAATCGGGCTCTGAGATCTACTTCTTCCCTTACGGGATGCCTCCTGAAGTCCCCGGGTTCATCGGTATGCCCCTCGTTTCCTGGGCGTCGTGTAGATTGGGTTGAGTCCTCCTCGGATTCATCTCCCTTCCTCCGTCTGGACAAACCTCGCCGGAGGTCGTCCAGGGCCAATGGCCTCGCTTTCCTGGAATGGTTGTCAAGATGACATTCGCCGGCTCTGGGTCGCTTCGGGGCCCTGGAGCTTTCTGCTTTGTGATCTAGGTGGTTTCTTAAATCCTTTGTCTCCGCCTCATGGACGGGGAGTCCTCGGGAAAGGAATGAATCCCTCGACCCTCCGCCTGAGGCGGCAAACTCGTCGAGCCGGCTAAGGACGTTTACATTGTCCTTCTCCAGCTGACGTAATCTATCGCCAAATTTCTCTTCAATCACCTCTGCCAGCTGACGGGCCAAGGGGGCTGATCCTCCTGACCTGATCCCCATACTGGTTTGAGGGGTTACCCCCTTGACCGAGTAGAGACACTTTTAATCGTACTAGTGCGATCCCTCCCTCCGTGATGACAGGGAGCTTGCAACTCATGACTCCTTTGGTGGGGTCCTTTCCCTTTCTGTCTGGTGTTCACCATGGTCACTGTTCTTTATAGAGAAAAGATTAGGAAAACTACTCGTTTCCCACAGACGGCGCCAGATTGTGCGTGCAAGATCCTGCACAATATAAAAAATATTGGGAACAGATCTCTCCCCTGGTGAACTTTGAGTGAACCGGTTGAGTGGCCAAACACACTGCTTGAAACAGCCTACAAGGTACGGTGGCAACCTGGAACGGCAAAGGAAGATCCTAGGAAAGGAAGAACGATCCTGTACGTGTGAAAGGTTTTCCTGGAATAAAGAGGGACAAGTTAGAAGGGTGCCGGAGTGTGTTCCGGCGTATCCCCTCCGACGGTCTAGTCAGTCTTTGAATGAGAGAGAGGAAGAAGAAAACACTGAGAAAATCTGTATTGTAGTAGAGAGTTTGTGATTTCATACCCGCTTTGCCTTCTGGGAGGAGTATTTATACCTTAAAAGCTCATGATTGCTGTCAGTGTGGTCAGTAGGTGATCATCAGGCACAGGTAGCGTGTGTATTGATTTGATGAGGAATGTCTTCTCTAATTGACTGCTCGGGGTCCCGAGCAATCAATGCTGAGTCGTCGGGACGCCGACGGTACAATATGCTCCTTTCGGGAGGGATGCAATAAATGCTCTGTAATAGGAGCATTTATTGCCTTTCATATCCGAACCTTACCGCATTGAATGCGGTCTCGTCAACAGAAGGGTGCAATTAATTGTTTGCTTTCCCAAAGCGCGTGTCAGCAACATCATGCGGTTTGTCTGTTTTTGATGTGATATCATATGCCACGCGTCCATCACGTATTGGCTATGACTTCTGTATTCCAGTATGTTCTGACATTACTTGTGTAAGACGAGGTCATGATGAATAGTCTAGACTGGCATAGGCTGATGATCCGTACGTCAGTAGCTTTATCCTGGAGTAGAGGAAGCGTCCAGGACGGAGTAACTCTCGGCACCGAGGAAAGGCTCACCTCGGGGACCGAGAGTGGTATGTTTCCGAGGTACATGGGTGACCGAGGACACGTGTTGTTGTATAATACACCGAATGCATGATCCTATATGAGAGGTACCTCGGGGGGGAGGACACTCGTTGCCAATGGTGCTTAAATCCGAGCAACACTGTTCCAACAAACCCGAGGATACGTGTCTTCATCATAGGGCTTTTTCAGAAGAGTCCCATCAGTAATTTCATTTAAATAGAAAAATATTGATTACATGCAAAAATTAAAAAAAACTTAGTCAGGCGGGGGGAAACTGCCCCAACTCAACAGAATAGTGTTATTTAGTCATTTTATTGATGAAAAAACTCGATTTTTGTTTACTTGTGACAATAAAATCTTTCAAATTTGAGAGGTGAACTTGACATAGCCGTAAAATTGCTCCTAGACATAGTGCCAAGTTAAATTCGCCAAAATAGCTTTTGATGATGATAGATTTAAATCTGAGTTCTATCTAGAGCCCAAAATCTTTTGGGCTTACAAAAGACGACCCAAGTTTCTCATCTAGATAACATTCTTTCGATCGATATCGAAATAGGTGATAGCTCGATATCGACATAAGTGATAGCTCGATATTGACAAGTTCAGTATAGATACCAGATCGAAATAGGTGATAGGTGATAGTTCGATATGGACAAGTCCAGTATAGATACCAGATCGGGGAATGGGAGTTCGGCACCAGGCCACTTAGCAAGAGCCGCAACACAACACATGGACAAAAGACAAGGGGACAACACCTAACACTCCTGGTGGAGGAAAACCCACCGGTAGTGGAGATAACTCACGTACTCCAGTTAGGGCGTAGTGGATGCAAAAAAGAGTTAAGGATGACAATTCCAGAGATAAAGACAAATATAGAAGGGACCACAGAATCAGCCCAAAAGGAGTCACCACTAAACCCTAACAACCAAATATATAAATGGCTAATAATACCACACATAGATGAAGAGCTATACCAACTAGCAGTAATCTAGACAATATTTTGTAAAAAACTTCTAGCCAAATACCTTGTAACATCAATCTTCTTTTCAAAGCAATACAATTCCCAATGAGCAAGAGTTTCTTTTACAGTAGATGTAATTTTCGTCCTTCAACCAGGGTGAACCACTCACATTGTTGTCTTCATCTTGCATTTAACTCTTAGTATATTGTTTACTATATACACACATTCACACACTCTCTGGATCATATCTCATACTGTTCTGTATTCGGGTCAAGTCGATTTCAAGCACTATCAGCTTCTACCCATGTGGATAAGCCTGTCTTGTGCACTGAGCCACTTTTTTTTTAATAACATTTTTGAAACTTGGAACTCCTGATGCCTTAATTGAAGAAATTTGACCATGTTATATTAGGTACACTGCCAAACTGTCACTGATGGAGTAGATTCCCTGGAACCATGGAAATTCCATATCTCATAGGACAAGTTAGTCATAGCAGCTGGAGCATGGCCTTCCATTTTTGGGATCCATGGTGTGAAGGAGCACGCAATTTTTCTTCGTGAAGTTCATCATGCTAAGGAAATCCGGATGAAGCTACTGTTAAACTTGATGCTGTCTGATGTGCCTGGTATGCTTCTGAGGCAGTGAATCTAAGAGAAATGGGTGATATTAATATGTTCTAACTCTGAATTTCTCTAATGGATATTGGGTCGCATAGGAGTTACTGATGAAGAAAAGTGTAGACTACTACATTGCGTTGTTGTTGTTGGTGGTCCGACTGGAGTTGAGTTCAGTGGTGAACTTAGTGATTTTATCATCAGGGACATTCAACAAAGATAAGGACTAATTGTATACCATCTTGGGTCAATCTATTATGTGTATACCATTTTGAGGTCAATCAAGTGTTTTTGTTTACCACTTCAGGGGCAATCTACTCAGCAAACTTAAAAATTACTCACCAAACCTCATTCGACTCTGAAACCCTATATAGTTCTGCATCTGGAGCATCATGGAGGCGTCTCGTTTGAATAGAATTTTTTTTGTTTTTGTCCTTGTCCTTTCTTTATGGCAGAATGTGGCAATTCGATGAATTGAGATTAGTTAAGCTGAAAATGTTGTAGTGAGGGTTCTAATTTTAAAAAGTTGGGTTTAGTTTTTTCAAGTTGAGAGAAATTGCATTCAGTTTAAATTACTTTTTTAATGAATAATTCCATTCATGCGAGTTGGTTTGACGCAACTTGCAAGTCAACCCTTGAAAAATTTGAATAGCACCCCATGAAATATTCCTATAGCCACTGTTGCTCTGCATGATTTTCACAAAGATAATGCCTCCCTGCATACACTAAGCCCGCCAAAAGTTTCATTTTCCTGGAGGGGCCATGTGTGTGAATACTTATGTCTGACTTGATAAATATGGGTTTATGTAGTTGTGATTAATCAAAATGTCATCATTTACAGGCAAATGAGATACTATCTTCCTTTGACCATCGACTTTGGCGTTATGCGACTAGGCAGCTAACCAAGGTGATAGATAAGGACTAATTGGAAGATATTGTAATCAGTTCATTCTAAATAATTTTTTGTTGTCATTTTTACTGCGTACTTCATGTGGAAGGATCTGAACATGTTTGGGGGTCCTATATAAAGCACTTTCCATGGCTATGATAAAGTAGTATTTTCAGAATAAATGGCACAGCTGTTGTCAATAGGACGACAGGCTAAGAAAAAATTTATAAAAGAGTTCTCCGCGCATCTCTACAATCTCTTATTTCTTGGGTGCAAAATCGAGGAAGCAAATACTGTAAACTGACAGATATGTACAATCTTATCGGATTTTACACACAACCATTACTCGATTTCCACGATTCACTTGATACAAGCCAACACTCTATGCCACTGGCCACGCATATGCTTTATTTACAGCAGTTGCCAGAGGCCTTTGCAAAACATATCGTGTCTTGCAATCAAGCTCAAAGGCTTGTTGATATTTTTTGCCTGAACATCAGACTCCCAATTGAATACTGTTATCTTTCATTCATGTTTCAACTTCTGGGATTTTTCCCAATAACAGTTCTGGACCTTTCCATTTTTGATCCATTAGTTTCTTTCAGTCAGGAGTTCGCCTTGTCCGTGGGATTGTCAAGGATGTTCAACCTCAGAAGATAGTTCTGACTGATGGCACAGAGGTCCCTTATGGCCTTTTGGTATGGTCTACTGTTGTTGGTCCATCAGCTTTTGTGAACTCTCTGGAAGTTCCAAAAACTCCCGGTGGAAGGTAAGTTGTTCATTTGGTGACAGATCGTATTATTTGGGGCTATATGTCTTAATTACTTATATTTGTCTCCATTTTCCATTTTCAAAATAGTCCTTTAAGACTTGGTGTTTTCCTTGGCTCAAGTTTTTGCATTCTTGTTTCTTTACTGGATGGGTGTTGACGAGACTTCTTGTGCTGCAGGATTGGTGTTGATGAGTGGCTACGCATCCTTTCTTTGCAGGATGTGTTCTCTATTGGTGACTGTAGTGGGTTTCTTGAAAGTACAGGAAAACCAGTTCTTCCAGCTTTGGCACAGGTAAAGTTGTTAGGAATTTTGATTCTCTAACATTATCTGTAAGTTGAACTCTTGGAGTCCTAAAATTTCAAGGCATCAGTCATTTAAGCTGTTATCATTGTTGGTATTGTGGTTAGACTCATTATTTTGTCCCACTTTACATTTTGGACATTTTCTCATCCACTCTGAAGAGGAGCACCTTGATGTTGGAATTCACTATCAGAATCTGAGCATTTGATTTTGAAATGCCATGTGATATTTCCATTCATTCATGTCATGAAATTTGGTGTGCGTTTTTTTTTTGGGGGGGGGGGGGGTTTGGTGGTGAGTCTGAAAACTTCAATTTTTGGGCTATCTACATTGGTGATATTGTGCCAACAAATCTTGTTCTTCTGGATCCTGCTCTCTTCAATCAAACACGGTTAGAATTAAGGCTTCTATTGTTGGTTGTGTGATGTTGCTTCCTATATTGCAGATAGGTTACAGTTGAGTGGCCATGAATTGATTCATGCATCAATCAGTTTTTTTGATCAGTCAGTTCAAAGTCAATATCCTAGTTAATTAATTTTATCTACCAGATGCATGATCTATGTATGTTAGATTTGTGATTATGTTCAAGGACATCATCGTTAAATCATTAGTAACAGTGCTTAGTAGGATAACTATACACTTGATACAATTCAAAGCTGATGTTCTGATAGCTTGTCTTTCTGGGTCTTAAAGATAAAATCCATTTGGGGTGTTTGAAACAGGTTGCTGAGCGGCAGGGGAAATATCTGGCCAAACGACTGAACAGGATTGGTAAAGCTGCTGGTGGTCGTGCTAATGCCGCAAAAGGCATGGAACCTGGGAAGCCATTTGTCTATAGGCATTTGGGGAGCATGGCAACAATTGGCAGATACAAGGCTCTTGTGGACCTTAGGCAGAGCAAGGTGATTTTATGCCGCGACATTGCCTTTTATCTTTAGCTATTAACACTCAAAAGGGTTATCGATGGCAGGATTTACTAGTTGGTTCATTTGGCGCTCAGCATATCTCACTTGCGTAATAAGTTGGAGGAACAGATTATATGTGGCGATCAACTACGCAACAACTTTCATATTTGGCCGCGATATTAGTCGGATATAGATTAGACCAGAAAGGTTAGTTCATTATGTTCAAAAAATCAAGCAACTTTAGTTTTATATTGAACTACAATGCTAGGATTTGTGAATACAAGTATCTCTTGGTGTTCTTGTTTATTTTTAAGCTTGTTGTGGCTAAATGAAGGAATCTAGGGCAGAGGGCTAAGGTGGGATGTAGAATGAAGGGAGATGTGATGTAAAATCTGCTACTGAGAGAATACAGTGAAACCAGAATAATGAGAAGATGAGGACATGACAGAGGTAGGTCTAAGATGAGTAGTTTTAGTATGCTGGGTTAGAAATGGGTTGGTAAATGGCAGCTAGGTCGCCTGAAAATCCATGATATGCAGGGGCGGGGCACATAAGGGTTGAATTTACTACACCAGGTGCAGGAGGCAAAATTGGAAGCCAAGGTCGGGTCTCACTTTGTGTCTCCTGCCCTTTATCTAGTAGTTAGATTCGCCACATTACTCTGATGATGTGATACAGAGATAGACCTGGTTCGCGTAATAATTTCTCATTTTCTTGTGAGAAATTCCCTTAATTGTATTCAGTTTTATGTCGTTCATTTACATTAGTTAACAAAAATCAGAGATCAGAGCTTCAATACAAACCCAGAAAGGTATACTCTGAAAGGCAAAACCCTGGTCCTGTGGTCAAATCCGCCCTGTACAGCCAACTTGAACTTAACGTTTTGTGTCTATTTGGAGTATCTAATCTTGATCTTAGTTCTGAGATTGTGCCGAAGTAGCTCAGCGTGCAGTCTACGTGGCCTTTTTATTTAAAATTTGCTCAATTGACGTTGACCTATTCATAGTCATATTGAATTTGGTATTGAGTTGGGTTTATGTCATGTGAGATTCATGCAAGTGTATATATGTTGTGTTTAGTTAGATTTGATATTGTATTTAGTCCATGTCTGATTGACATAGTAGTATATTAGTTGTGTTTATTAAGGTTGATGTTTGGTCAGGTTTGATTGACATATTTATTAGACTGTACTAACTTGTTTATAATTCGAATCATACCACTAATCTGTTGTGTGTGATTTCACTGCGGTGAATGTCTTAAGAATTTTTCATGGTACTCAAAAATGTTTTCTGGTACTTCCAGAAGGTAATATTTTTTGATACTTCACCGACCATTGATCTTAATTTGAGTTATTTTAGCAATTGATTGTTGAAATAATTGCAATCTGATGAGATGATTTAGAAATTTTTTTGTTTCATTTTGTGATTAGATGAAATATGTATATAATAAAGTATAATGAAATTTGAATCCAAGAGACAAAGAGTGGTCCAGATTGTTTTGAGATAAAACATAAATACATCCAACAAACAATGTAATTGCAACATAAAAAACGGTTCAGATCATCTCAAAAATTTTGATCTAACGGTCTACAGTGAGTACTGAATTTTATTTTCCCACCCAACAGTATTTGTTGACTCACGTCTCTCTCTCTCTCCCAATCTCTCCCCCAATTTCATCTCATTACAACTCTAGACTCCTGTTGCTTATGAACCTTTCTCTCTCACACTCATACGATATCTATCTCTCTCCCTCCCTCAATCTCCTCTCTAAGTCATGTCTCTTCTTTTCTTTCTCTCTCTCTCTCTCTCCCTCAGGTTGCAACAATGGTTGCTCTACAACAAACTCCGATCACATTTCAATCCTGATCACCACCATCAACCCAAATTATAGTCAGAAGAACAACAAACTTCTCATTTTCTGGAGGTTTCAAGTCAGTCAAACTCCCAAAAATCATCGTCAAGGTCAGCCAAAAAAGCCCGCCGTCACGGTGCCAGAATGGCCAACTCTGCCGCAGGAAGCTACACCAACACCCTTGCTAAGGTGGCGAATTCCAATGGAACCCTAGAAGCCACCTTGGCCGACATTGAAAAGGTGGAGAAATTCTTCTTTGACTCTGAAGTCTTCTACTTCTTCTCAAATCCCACTGTCGACATCGCCAAAAAATGCAAGGTCCTCGACGAATTGAGACATGCTATTTGCTATTAGCATTAGTTATCAATTTCAAGCTTCTTGGATTTTTTTTTTCCCCAATTTGATGTTAGCAATGATACAATTTTGTCCTGACAATTTCTATATTATATTGTATTGAACATTCAACCAGTAATGTCTTTTGTTTTTTTTTCCCAATAAGTAATTGAATTTCACTTTTGTGAAATTGATTGGATTATCATTGCCCTTTGTGTTCAATTATAATTCCCCACCCCATGGAGTTGATCTCCTTGGGATACTAGGGGATGGGTGTGATGGTCCTCAAATAGCTTGCTATTGAGCACTAATTCCATTAGGTTAGTATTAGCATTAGTTATTAATTATTTGCTATTGAACACAATTCACAGTTCAAATTGAGACATGCTATTTGCTATTAGCATTAGTTATCAATTTTTATTTTCATATTATGTGTTATTACTATTTGTTGTCATGTGTTATAGTTTTTTTCTTTTGCTTGGACTTGGTGTTTCAAGTTTGTTCAATTTTACGTTGTTTGATGTTGAGGGTGAGTTAAGATGGCTGGGTTTTGTATATGATCACAAAGTGTTTTTTGTTTTGCATCAAAGAAAAAAAGTTTCCCTAAATGACTATCTCTATAATTTATTTTTTTTGGAATGGGTTGAATTCTTGAATGTTTGAATAGGGTGGAACTTAGTAGCCTGATTGAACATAGTTCCATTTTGGTTAAATACGTTATGTGAGTTGCTTATCAATTATTCATTTGTCTTAAATGTCTAATATATTTATGTTATCTTTCTTACATGTGTTCATGGATTTTGCAGCTTCATGGTGTTGACTGTGCTACTTCATGTCTCCAATTCTAGCTGGGTTTGCTCACACTATGTCTAATGTAATTTTTCTCAAGATGGATGTGGATGTAGCTGAAATGAAGGTAAGTAAAATGTAGCTCTTTTTCAATGTTAATTTAAAGCCAATATGATATATATAACATATTGGTTGAGAGTTTGCAATAGAGTGTTAATTATAATGTTTGGTATGTTATTGGTTGAGAGTTTGCAACAGAGTGTTAATTATACTTAGTAGCCTTAGTATTCTTGAATGTTTATTATAATGTTGAATGGAAACTTAGTATAATGTAGAAAATAAATTTATTATAAAACTTAGTATAGCATTTATTAATGTTGAAAATAAATTTGTCTCTTTTTGAATGGAACTTAGTATTCTTGAATGTTTGAATAGTGTTTATCTAAGAGACAAATTTGAGCTTGGAGACCTTTTTACACATTGCCCTTCGTATGATTTTCTTTTGCTCTCTCTACATTCTTGCTTCATTTATACTAATTTTTAGTATAATTTTTTGGTGATGCATTGAGCATTGTTTGCTTTAAAAGTATAGTTTAATTTGTCTCTTTGTTTGGTAAATCATAATGTGGTATTATTTTGATGACGTTGTAATTTTGAGGGTAGGTCAACTTTTGTTCGTGGGTTTCGACACTTGGACAATTGTTGGTTGTAAGGGTAATTGCATTCCAAAATTTGTCCATTGCATTATATTATTGAAGGAATTTTTTTAAAAAAATTTAGTTGATATATATATATATATATATATATATATATATATATATATATATATATATATATATATATTTTTTTTTTTTTTCTCAGTTTGTAAATTTGATTTGATTCTATTAGTATTTTATTCCTGATGTTTTTTGTATATGTGTTGTTGCTTTGTAAAATTTTTTGTTCATTTTTTATGAGTAATATAGTGTCTTCAAGTACGAATAATTACTAGTATATATATAAAATATGGAGAAGTTGCTTTTGGACACTTAGTCTATAACCATTAGTGAAGGAAGAGGACAATGGGTATGTCATAGCTGTTGGCAGTAAATATTCATTACCAGAGATAATAGCACACTTAACATCTGCTTGCCTGACTTGAGGGCCAAAATGACCACTTTGTCTCAAAAGTTGGATGCTATAGAGATAAAAAAATATCAATGAAGATGAACTTTCAAAGTAAATAGTGATTGAAATTGGCCAAAATCTTATCTAAATATGATCCGTTGACACGTTTAAATAGCAGCCAACCTCATTCTTGTTAAAATTTTCCTATCTACACTCATTTGCGTCACCTGGTTGATCTTCTCATCTCAAATATTAACTGATTATAAGTCTATCAAATGATTGGATTCTAATCAAAGTTTATTCAATTTTTAAATTTGAATTTGACGTGAAAATTAGAATATGAATAATTAATGAATTTTATTTTTAGGCATAATACCAAAATTCATTAAATATTGAGAAACGCCTTTATGAATATCTGATCTGATTCTAATGATTCAAGACTTCAAAATTTTATTGGTTTTATCTGTCAAAATTCACTCTCAGTTGCATTTTCTTGACTAGGAGGAGGAGTTGATTATTTCACTTGATACTGAGCCTGAATGAATAATTAGGGTAAATGGTGTTTTTTTTTTAAGATCATGGAATAATTAGGGTAAAATTTGGGAGAAATATGCAATTTTCTATTTTTAATGGCGACAACATAACATTCGCTCAAGTTAAGGAATCATCATCGATCGTGCCTTTCAAAATGAAGGAACTTTCATGTGTTTTCAATCATCCAACGTTTTCCACGCATTTAGTACCAGCCGACAGTCTTTCGCCTCGATGCAAGCGTCTTTGTCTCGATGCAATGATACTTGAAATCGTAACAAAAATAAATCGTAAATTTAAATATTTTAAATTTAAATTTTAATAATTTTTTAAAATCAGTGAAAAATATTTTGATCATAAAAAATTTATCATTCATGAATATTTTAATTTTAATGTGAAAGATATATATCTTATCGGATCAAAAATAAATTACTCGAATTACACATAAATTAATTCGAATATTAAAAAAAAAATTGATTGAACCTAACTAAAAATTGGAGGCTTTCCATAGTGAAAAGCATTTATCACGTTTTTCTAGCCATCCTAAAATCTAGTCAACATTTTTGTGCCAAAAAATTAAAAAAATAATAATAATAATCTGGTTAACATCAAAAGTGAAAAATAATTTTCACGTGAAGAAGATTAAGTAATTGTCTATAACGTCCCAGGGAAAAGAATAGAAAAATACTAGTTTTGAAAAAAATGATCAAAATTAAATAATTTATCACTGACATTATATTTTATTTGATCGCAATTTTTTTTTTTTTAAATTGTTCACAATGTCGACGTTACGCCATTTGATTCTATTTTTCTAATAAATCAAACATTACTCCAAAAAAAAAAATTACAAGTAGCTATAGGATGTAACATTCTGTGGAGTCTGTCATTTATTTGCATTTTCATTACTTTATTTAAAGTTGAGAGTAGTTGCGTTGCTTTTGTCTGCCTGTCTCTTACGTGAACTTAAAAAATAGATTTAATAATTATAATTATTGACTTTTTAGTGATTTCTAGTTTGACACAATATTGATTTTTTCAAATTTTCTTTGATATAAGTGACAGAAATTCAAGATTAATAAGCTAAGAGAGGTGGTCTAATAGTTGAGTCTGGTCTTTAGTAATTCAAAGATCTCGGGTTTGATCAAGGTCAGCCCAAACCGAACAGAGGCACTGGGCAAAATTCTTGGGTGAGACCCCATTATTTATTTCTGTATTCAAATTATTTAGCATATCATTTAGATTTATAAAATTCATTTAATGACCAATAGTCAACAGAATAATAAAAAAAATAGATTTGAAGTTCAATGCTAGACATTCTAATGATGTTTATACTATCATGGCAACCAAAATAAGTTATTGACAAACTCAATTTAAATTTAAATAAATTTAACTTATCAAAAGATCATCAAATTCTAAAAATAAATAAATAAATCAAAATACACATTTTTCAAGTTGATTAAAATAGTCGGAAACTAAACGAAAGAAACAATTACATAATTTTGCTATACATGACAGGTTCCAAGACATGAATAGTGTTATAATTAATATATAACGAATCTCATATTAATATAAAACTTGTAAAAGAAAATTTTGACATCATTGAACCCGTGTCTATAAAAAATAATAGGGGCCCAAAAAACAAAATTTAATTTGATTGAACATTGATCGAAAAGTTTTATTTGAGACCTTGAAAATAAATATAGACTTAATTAAACTTGAATCTAAAATTCTTAAAAATAATTTAAAGTTAAGTAAATCTAAATCTTTAAAAAAATTTGAGGCCCCAAAAAATATGAGATCTTAGGCGACGACTTTGATTGCCTAGCCTAAGGGTGAGTCTTGGGTTCAATTCCTTTTCATACCCCTAAAAGTCTAGTCATCTTTATCATTTTACGAACATTTTTTAACTCAATTTAAATCACGGTGGTTAGCTATTGAGTTCGAGAAAATAGTCGACGTAAGTTTGAACACCTTGTAGCCAAAAAAAAAAAATCCAAAAACCATAAACGAAACATGAGTGGTTGGTTGTATGTTTTTTTTTGGTAATATTACCAATGAGTTTCACTTTTTCCCCCCACAAAATACCATTGTGTCCTACCATTTTTATTGTGTGACAATGAAATTCTACTTTTAATAATTTATTTCAAATTTTCAATGAAATTCTAAACTCCATAAATATTATATTTTTGTTCTAATTTTATTTTTCTCTTGAAAAATATTGATACCTAAGGTATTGGATCAATAACAATAGTCTTCTTTCTTCATGTACACCCGACTTGATGTGTTCTAAATTATGTATTGCCTATTTGCTAATTTTTTGAAACATTAAATCACTAAATTTTTTTAAATTGTCATTATAAGATACAACAAAGGGCATTGAACCTTTGTAATTTATGATGATATCGATGAAAATTCAAGTGCTTTGTTTTTTAAGAATTGCAGTTTTTTTTTTTTAAATCAATAAAAGTAGCTATTTCATTTAAGTAGTGAGATCTAGATAACAATCGGTCAAAGTAAAAGCCTTTAGCTCGGATAGGAAAATCCCTTGTAGTTTCTTTAATTAGCTCAGCCACTTATTTTATGTTGTTCTCCTGTGGTTTAGGGGTGGAGACTGATAGACTTGGAAGCTAGGGGATCCATTTGTCTTCCCAAAAGTTTACCTCGTTACCATTATTTATCTACCACATAAGTCTTTTATCCAAAAGTTCCCTCCCCTAGTGCAAGCTGCTCCATATCCTGGAGTTTCTTGCCCCTCATTTTGCTTTCATCAAGTCGTCATTTGGGAAATAAATAGCTTTCAAGAATTGTGCCCAAAAGGCATTGGGGCACTGGATCAGTCTCCAACATTGTTTGTCCAGCAGAGTTTGATTTAGTAATTTGAAATCCTTGAGCCCCATTCCTCCTCTTGCCTTTGTTTGTACCATAACATCCCATTTGTTTTCAGTGGATCCCCTTGTTTTCCTCTCCTCCCTTCCACTAGAAATTTTTTACACAGCTATTCAGCTTCTCGCAAAAATTCTTTGGGAAAACTATTACTAACATGGCTTAATTTGGGATCGCTTGGATGACTGCCTTAATCAAGACCTCTCTACCCGTCTGTGATAGACATACACTTTTCCAGTCCTGCATTTTTTTAAAAACTCTTTCTAATAGATAACCAAACACTTCGTTCTTTGAACTCCCCCAGGAGGTGGGCAAACCCAAGTACTTAGCATTGTGGGGGAGACTTTGCATTCCCATTAGATTGCAGAAAAATTTCTTTTGTTCGTTAGTTGTGTTCAATGAAAAGACAGTACCTGATTTTTGCTGATTGGTGCTCTGTCCTGAAGCTGTACAATAGGTCTGTAAAGTCCTCATAAGTTCGATAACTCCCTGCTCCTTTGCCTTTACGAAGAACAAGGAATCATCAGCAAAAAAGATATGGGAAATGGTGGGGCTCCTTCTCTTTACCTTAATTCCCATAAATTTTTTATCTTCAATTCAGTTTTGTGGCATTGTTAAAAGTACATCAGCTACCAAAATGAAGAGATATGGGGAGATGGAGTCGCCCTGTTTGATGACTCTCTGTGGTTTAATTTCACATCTTTTTTCCCTACTCACAACTACTTAGAAGCTTCTCATGCACATTAAATTATCAAGTGCACCCAGCGAGGGTTGAAGTCCATCTTTAGCATTCTTGTTTCAAGAAAATCTCATTCAATTCTATCATAGGTCTTGACTCTTGAGTATGTCCATCTTTACTGCCATTTTCAAAAATTTGTCTTTCTTCTTCACTTTCAGATGGTGAAAATTTTCATTTGCAATGATAATATTGTCTTGAATCTATCTATTAGGAACAAAAGCAACTTGATTGGGTGAAATCAGGGAATTTAAAGTCTCTTTCATCCTGTTCACCATTACTTTTGGGATCACTTTATACAGAAAGTTAGATAGGGTGATGGGCCTGAATTTTACATTTGGTTCAGGTGCACTCTTCCTTGGAATAAGGCTCCTTTCAAAGAAATTACTTACTGCTTGACAGACTTCCTTATCCACAACGTGCTAGAATTTTTGGTAGAATATTCCTAAAAATCCATCTGGTCCGGGGCCTTTGAAAGCCCCCAGTTGCTTCGATGCTCTCTGTACCTCCTCATCAGTAATTGCAGTTGAAGTAAAGACTTCACGTAAACAAAAAATCAACATCCATTTGCATATAGAAGCAGCTTCAATAAAAAAACAATGTTTGAGGTAAGTTGCTTGCCCATTGATTCCACTTTAGTGTTGGTTATCGATTCAAACACAACAACTTAAACAAAACCCTAACTTAATCATTTTAATTCTAATCTTTACCTTAATCTAAGGAAGCATCAAGAATTCTTGTGGGGAAGACAATCACTTACCTGTTGTTGCCCAAAGGAACAAGTGTTGCCCTAATTTTCTCCAGTTGTATAACCAGTGCTTCTTGGCGTGAACAGATGTCAACCCTTCTTTCTCGACAAGTTCTTCAGACAAAACTAAAAACGTAAGTTCTCTATCAAAGGTCCGGTCGGCAAATGGAGAGGAGACAAAAGGAAAAGCCATTGATGGAGTTGAGAAGATCGGCGACGATGATGAATTTGACCCAAGTGCACCTCCTCCTTTTAGAATGGCCGAAATTCGAGCCGCCATTCCCGATCATTGCTGGGTCAAGGATCCATGGCTGTCCCTCAGTTATGTAGTTAGGGATGTTCTTGTAGTGTTTGGGTTGGTGGCAGTGGCGATTTACTTCAACAGTTGGATTGTTTGGCCAATGTACTGGGTTGCCCAGGGGACAATGTTCTGGGCACTGTTTGTTCTTGGTCATGATTGGTAAAAATTGAATTCTTGTTCTTTGCCTATAAATGTCGTAACCCCAATTTGAATATTCTTAAATTTGTTGGTTTTGGATTTTGCAGTGGCCATGGAAGTTTTTCTGACATCCCTAAGCTCAATAGTTTTGTGGGATATTTGATTCATTCTTCAATTCTTGTACCCTATCATGGTTGGTATGTTCTTGATAATCCTTGTCCATGGAAACTCTGCAATGTGAGCACATATATTTGCTTTTAGTTAGTGATGATGTTTAAGATTAATTACTGGTAATTTCAACAGGAGAATCAGTCATAGAACTCACCATCAGAACCACGGACACATTGAAAAGGATGAATCATGGGTGCCGGTAACGGTTCTTATATTATTCTCGCCTCTGTCAGTTGTTTGATCCATACTGTCTAGTTATAAGCTTCTTCAGGGTAATAATATTACAGCACAGAGGAATTTTTGAGTACTACCTCAAGACACAACATAATACTAAAAATTCAAGAATAATTGTATATTTATATTTTAAATAACAATTTATTTTTATTTTTATCTTTTAATTATGTAATTTAAAATTAAAGTGAACAAAGAAAAAATAAGATAGAAGTAGATTTAGATTAATGAGATTATTTGACATTGGAGAGTATATTGGTTGAATTGTTTGACATTGGGGGCCGTACAAAAAGAATGTTTTCGAGTAGGAAAATAAATTTGGAAATGAATTTTGTACCATTGGGATCAAAATATATGAAAATTGAATCAATCATAACTGTTGTTATACTTTTATAAGTTAAGAACTCAATTTACTAGCTATGATATTAGATAAATTGTAGCAAAAATAATATTGTGTGAGATTCGACTTAACCCTTTTAGGTTCGATCTCAAACTTTTTGTTTGAGCCGTATCTTGACCACTTTAGGTTGTAACTTGACTACATTATAATTTGTAACGAACTTTTATTTAGTTATAAATTTCGATAGGAATTTGGTACCGTAGTTTTACCTTCTTCTTTGATGATCTTATATTACCTAGTTGATGTTTATACGGTTGCATGCTCCTCTTATACCTCTTCTACTCTGATGATCCCAGATGCCCGAGAAGCTATACAAGACTCTTGATGTTTCTACCAAATTCCTAAGATTCAAAGTTCCTTTTCCCATGTTTGCATACCCTATATATTTGGTGAGGATGCGTTGTCTATGATACCAATTATTTCCATACATGTTAGTATACATTTTGTTTGAGAACTAAGAGAATTCTTTATGTTTACCTAATGGATTGCATTACAGTGGAGTAGAAGTCCAGGAAAGCAAGGCTCCCACTTCAACCCTTACAGTGAATTATTCCTTCCCAGTGAAAGGAAGTATATTGTCACTTCAACAGTCTGCTGGACTATGATGATTGCTCTGCTTGGCTACTTGTCCAATACCATAGGTCCACTCCAAATGCTAAAGCTCTATGGTATTCCCTACTTGGTAATCAGAAATTTTGTTTCTGAATCAATATCTAGAATTTAAAATAGTTGAGTTTCTTTGGTGTTATTGTCTTTTAAACTTCAAAACCTGCATCAATCTACAGATTTTTGTGATGTGGTTGGATTTGGTTACTTACTTGCATCACCATGGCCATGAGCAGAAGCTTCCTTGGTACCGTGGCAAGGTTTTGTACCAATATTCCCTTCAGTCTGCCTCCTATCGAGTTTTTTTGTTCAAATTTATCAGTGAAAACATTATGCTAATGCCCTCCTATCCATATGTTGCATAGGAATGGAGCTATCTAAGGGGAGGACTTACAACAGTGGATCGGGATTATGGATTGTTAAACAACGTCCACCATGATATTGGCACCCATGTTATACATCACCTCTTCCCTCAAATCCCACACTATCACTTAGTTGAAGCGGTACTACCTTCTTTACCAAAAGGAAGGTTTTTTTTTTAAACTAGTAAATTTCATCCAGGACAGTATCTTATTCTGATGGTGTGATATCATCGTGCAGACAAAGGCAGCTAAGCCAGTGTTTGGGAAATATTACCGAGAACCAAAGAAATCTGGGCCTATTCCACTTCACTTAATTGGTTATCTGGTGAGAAGCATGCAGCAAGACCACTATGTTAGTGATACTGGAGACATTGTGTTCTATCAAACTGATTCTCAACTTTATGGACCTCCTCGAAGCAAGGATGAGTGACTCTGCAATGCAGTCAAAACCGGGGAACTTATACATTAAAATTTTAAAGCACCTCATGCTTTAAAACACGGTTTTAATTATATTTTTTTCCCTCAAAAAGTTAGTGTTAATCATATTGCCCATGGTTGGTAAATAATTACCTCTAAAGAAAAGAATGAGGGATGCCTAACTAAGTTATAGTCCCTCATCTCTTGACCTGGTTTAAGCACTTCACTTGATGATCATGCTGTGGTGAATGTTGCTAGATTTTGTATGTTTGTGGTGAGGATTTAGAAATTATCCTCAAGAAATTTCAATGTAAATTAATGTTTACAGTTGAATTAGTAGTTACATACATTTGCCTCTCTGGCCGGTTTAAATGAATCAGTTACTTGTGATTACTTTATCTCAATCTATATGGAATGAAAACACTAGGAAGTGCAGGGTGAGAGTGTCCAAGAAATCTATCACAGAATCAAGCAGATGGTGAGTGATTAGTGACTGCACACTAGCAAGCAGGAACCAACAGCGATGGATTACGCTTTAACAACACAAGCCTGAAATACCGAAACTGGAGAATTTGGAAACCAACATTTCATGGAAATCTTTAAGGACCTCGTGCTACAATAGCAAGTTTGCAAGAATAATTACTAAAGATCGGATAGTCTGTTGGGTTTAATCTTAGCTCTAAAGCAAGGGGATGTAGTTAGGCCAGCACAATCTGAGGGCTAAACCTTTTGGTTTGGCCAATTTGCAGCTTCCTAACAAGAAAGTGAAGAAACAAGAGAGCAAAGGAAATAGGGGTCTACACATTGATTTTCACCGAAAGGCCTTGCATTTACCGTCCGGTCTGCAGTATTAAGCCTTCATGGCTGCAATGGCCATTTATCAGTACACACATGAAGCAATCCCATAGAAGTACAGGGAGAAGTGCAAGCGTGAAGAGATTGGTACAGAATTTAGGTTAGAAATTCTTGACCAATTCTATTAGTTGAGCTAGTCTTGCCAGCTTGTGGAGACATCGCAGCGAAAGGTCACTCTCTTACCTATATGCAACAATGTGTTAAATGTTTCAATGTCCAACTAATGATCTAGTGGTAAGTCATATTTGTTAAGAGTTATCTCTGACTTCTATCTATCAAACACGATTTGATCTACAAGAATAACGTAATTTGCTGCTTAGGTTTAGTGGTATTGTGCTGACGGACTGCACCTTTAGGTTAATAATAGTTATAGCTAAAACTGAGGATGCCACAATGGGAAACCTTCATAATCACGCTTAGAGAAGTTATTACCTATTAGTCGCTCATTCTCCTCTTTCATCTAACAAAAAAAAGAAGTTTGAAAATGACCAAAAATATTAAGGGCTTGTTTGGATGTATTTTTAGAAAGGATTTGGATTGACTTCCCTAAACCCTTTCAAACTCAAACCCAAACCCAAACTCAAACTCAAACTCTTCTTTCTAAAGATGAAATTCAACATTAAATTCAGTTCATATCCATGTTTGATATACCCATAAATATATTAATATTATGATAATATATTTACATTTAAATGACTATTTTGTTCTTTCACCAATCTAATTCAAACTCATGTTTGTATACGTATAGGATATAATTATCTTTTGAGCCATTTGAAAGCCGGTACACCATATTAAACATAATTGTAAAAAATTACATATAACAAAATATTTTGAAAAAAAAAGTACACAGCTTAAATACAAAGACGTAAATATCCATTTTGTAAAATTTTCTTTCCTAAAAACTTTAACAAGGCATTTATTAAGTCTTGAAATTTAGGGTCATTTAATTCAAAAATTTTTATCTTTAATGCACTTTGTTTCATGCATTTTTTTTTTGGAAAGTGATTCTTTTTTCAAATTGTATTTATAAATTAAATATTTACTACTACTAGTTTTATAGGAGAATTTTAATATTCCGTTTATTTTAGAATATATCACTTGTTTGAATTTCAAAATTTATTAATATCCGAGCTCTATAATAGTGTAACAAAAACAATGTAACAATACACTATAATAAAAACAGTGTTCAGTAATTTTGTGCATATGATAACAAATTCAAAATAGAGATGAACTGTTTTGAATGAAATTAATTGAAAATGTATGTTTGACAAAATGTAATAGTATAATATTTTTTTGTAAATGTCTTGTTACACTGTTCGAATATTAATATAATTTGAAAACAAAACCACTTTTCAAAAAAGAAAATATGAATGAATCAAAATGTATCAAATATAATTTGAAAACAAAATCACTTTCCAAAAAAAAATACGCACGAATCAAGGGGGGACATACAAATATGGAATATTAACATTCTCTCATAAAATTAGGAGATGTTTAATCCACCACTTTTCAAAGAAAATACACATGGATCAATAGAGGATAAAAATGTCACAAAAAAATCAGTAAAATTCAAATAATGTACTTAGATACAAATAAATATCAAAATTAAGGACTTAATTATTTAACATTTTTTTTGTGTATTTTTTTACAATTAAGTTTAATTTGGTGTACCCTCTTTTAATTTTTTCTTATCTTTTTGTATCCTGAATCCGTTAACCTTCGTCCGAAACCCACCCTGATGGGTTTGATGAAACTCATGATCTAGGGTTTAAGGTTCATACCAATAGTGGGCTAGACTTAGTGACTCAAGCTTCAAATTTTTAGTCAAACATAAATTTTGTGTGTCATTTGAACTATTTTTCTCCGATCCATCTTCCCAAACCCCCGAATCCCATTTACCAAACCGCCCTAGATAGCTAAATGTTTTTTCCGAGGCTCACAAAGTAAGATCCAAACATTGTAAATTGATTCAAAATGTGACTTGTGGGCCTTGTTGGACATAATTAATACAGCAGGCTAAATGAACAAGTATTTTTCAGCAGGCACACAAGGAAGAATGTTTCAACAATCTCATAATACATAAAGCTCATAGCATTGTAATTCACGGCAAAGCTGGCAGTATTGCTATACGTATCCATCTTAAAAAACTAATAAATTCTAACTCAAACTCAATTGAATCATAATTTTGTCTATTCAGTCACAACTTAACTCGATACAATCGTTTGTTTACAAATACAAAAAAATTTTGGTAACGTACAAATCGCTCTAAGAATCTTAATCATCCGTCAGAGGTAGAAAATTTTTGAGTACCAGCATCATGTTTGGATGACAGCCGTAACTTTCTGTTTTCTTCCTCTAGTTTCCATTGCCCACTCAATTCATCCACTGAAAAGAATGTGATCAAAATGGACAAACAAGATTAGGTTGAAAGGACCACCCAAGTGCTCATCAACCTCATTATTGTCAACTAAAGAAAGCAAAAACAAAACAAAAAAACCTACCTTTTGGAAGCCGAAAGCAATTCACACTATTTGAATGAAAAGGTAAAAAAAAAAAGAGAGAGAAAACAAAGTGGAATAAAACAGAACGTTGTATCTATCCACTTTGATATGTAGGGTTCATTGAAGTTAAAAGCGCTGAGAACGTACTGGCAAAGCATTAGAACCCAATGATGGTAAGGACCATTCCATTTTATTTTATTTTTTTTGCTGGTTGAAAAGAGGGAACATCGATCGGTAAATAATAATTTTTTTATTGGCGTGACCATGATTAATTTTTTTATTGGCGTGACCATGATAATTAACCCGTTACCACAACACTTCTAAAGTCTTCTATAAATCAAACTCTATTTGATAACCACACGTGAATTAAAAATTACCTTAAACAGAGACAACTTATCACTAAACTACAATTTATCACTAAACTACCAACTCGAGTGGTAGGACTATTCCAATTAGTCCAGAGATTTCTGTCTTTTATTTTCTTGACAAAAGAGAATTATATAGTAGAAAAAAAGACCAATCTTTACTAGGTGAAAGAACCACTTGGTCAATTGAACACCAGCATTATACAACAGCAATGACAAAAACAGGAAGAATAAAAAAAACCCATCTGGCAAACACATTTATTAGAAAATGAAACAAAGACGAGTGATGAAATTTATTAGCTAGTGAAATATGTAACATACACAATCCCCACCTCCAAAATGACAAAGTTTACATTGCAATAGGGGCAATGTCCACTATCCAGTAGCCCAGGTCATAGTAGAATTTCTTTCCACTTCTTTGTACTAGAAATGAATACAAGGAATCTGATGCAATTAAGACGCAAAACAAGAGAGGTAAATATAAGATGTGAATACAAGGAATTCTTTTTTGTTTCTCCTCAGAAAGTTGCCATATGAACAGAATGCTTTTATCCTGCCCAAGTCCTTCTCTTTCTCCACTCAGAATATTCTTTTCATTCTGACAATTCCATCCACTTACATTGCGAATGTGAATAAAAAATTCCAAAATAAACTGCAAGAAAACTTGTTAATCGTTATTTGAGGAACCAAAGTGGTTTCTATCATCGCTTTTAAGCCACCATCTGCTCCGGCTCCATGTATAACTGCTCTACCCATTGTGGAAGCATCTCAGAACCTCCACCGTTTAGATGATATTGTCCATGCTGCTCATCATCAAAACCAGAGTGCCCAGGTTTAATGGATGGGGCATCCTTTACCAAAGACTGTACCCAAGACACATCCGGCTCATCATTAGTGGTTTGCACAAAAGCTGTAGGTGTGGTGGAACTGCTTCCACTGCTCCGGAATCCAAAAGAAGCAGATTTCCTCAACTTGTTCAGCTCTTCTTTCTGTATACCCCAGTCCAATTTGCCATCAGGAGAGCCCCAATTTGAAAGGGTAGAAGCCATCACCGTTGCAGAAGAAACAGGGGAAGAAAGCCCAGGATGACAGTTCACCATGCTTCGATCAATGAAGCTGTGACTTCGCTTGGCAAATGCAGCAGACCTTGAATTCAAACCTGCAGGTGCACTCCCAGATGAATCAATACCAAATTGTGTTTGTGTCCTCACTGGTGAGGACGAAAGGCTTGAAGGGTAGCTTGAGAGGAGCTGCTGGTTCATATTCTGGCGAATCTGGACTCCATTTGAAGACTGCAACTGAGTGGTTCCAGCTTCCAGTGAGAGTCCCTGTAAATGTGACAAAACTGTGGGATCAAGAGATCCAAAAATATCATCAAGGTTAGTCGGTTTCACTCCAGCAAGCCTGTTAAATTCCCCAGTCAGATCACCAGAGGAGGCAGCAATAGCAACAGCAGTCGCCAAGGAATTGTCCCAGCCAGATGGAGAAGAGAGACCAGATATCTCATCCATCAACTGCTGTTGCCGGCGACGATGACTTTCCAATTCAAGGAATTTGGCATCCAAATTGATATCCCTCGCACTTCGCGTAGTTTTCAACCTGCTACCAGGAAGCTGCAGGGTAGGAGGGGCAAGGTTTGGCTGGTTTAACCACATGGATCCACCCCTTGGTGAGGAAGGTCCGGAAGGAGTCATTGGGGGTGTTGAGGAGGGAGGCATCATAATAGATGGCATACCAAGGGCAAGCGGGCTGATTGACGAAACATCAAATGAAGCACTCATTGAGAAAGATCTAGGGGAAGGCACAGCCGAACCCGTGGAAGCATACAATGGGCGAAGCTCTTCAGGTTTGTGGGCAAAGAAACACACTCTCCTAGTACAACCAATCTCATCCTTGCACATGCGGGTCCTATATTGGGCAGGGTGAAGCCAGCACTCAAATATTCCATGTGCATACTCACAGGCATCCCCCCGCTGACAGGTACCCTTTCGGAACTCTGGGCAAGGAACACAACTATAATGGTATTTCCTTGGATCACGCCGTCTGGCATTTTCACCTGGGTGAACAAATGGGCACTCTGTCCAGTCATGAGAGTAAGCCCTCGAGCAAGGCTTCACCTTGAAAGTATACATCCTGAACTCATCTGACCCATATATCCCATTCTTTATGTCCGGAAGAGACGGGTCAACAGGATACTCTTTCTTCTCAGTCCCATCTTTTGAGGCTCGCAGTGTTGATACCTCTTGATCATGTTGTTCTCCCATTCGTTCAATGGTCTGATCAGTAAAGAAAAAAGCTTCTTCAATATCACTACCTCCTTTTAACATGAGCTCCATCATCTTCCTCCTCGAATTGAAGGAAGAATTCAAAATCCGTATGATCAGGTCAGCTGGTCGATTCCCATTAGCATCGATACAATTAACATCAGCAGAAGCATCAAGCAAGAGCTTGACGACTTCGAGTGAAGACACAGAACCACCGGCAACAGCACAGTGGAGAGCAGTGGCACCATCTGACCCACAAGGTTTGTTAACATCAACGCAACCCGTTTCAAGTACATAATTTAATACTTTCTTGCTACCAAACATGGATGCAATCATGAGAGGAGTCCTTTTCTCAAACGCCATCTTTTTTGAACCAATTCTTCTACCGTACCAAAAACTGGACTCCTCAGCATCACGGCCCTCTTCTTCTACCGCAGTTTTAAAACCAATCAGATCATCAGAAGCCGATAATTCAAGTAAAATCGAACAATCAGGGACAAATCCCTCTTGATTTTGAAATTCACCTCCCTCCATGACCAAAACAGTGGAACTAACTTTCCTCTTGGAACCACTGCACATGAATTGGTCTTTCTCTCTACAAAAACAACACCACGCAGAGATTTAACAAACGCTCTTCCAGAAATTACAATCATTAGTTTTCAAGCTTCACAATAATTACAAACATAAGAAGATGACTCAAATTAAGGCGAATTTCAAACGTTCATAATTAATATTGTTATACAACTACACAACTGTAAAGTGTACACTAAGTTTATTCTAGAAAAGTGCAAAACATCAAAATAACCCAAAAAATTAAACATCTTTAAGCACCTAAAGCCAAAAATTCAACAAAATATATGCAATATTAATGGGTAAAAAGAGGCACACACACAGACACACACACACACGCACACACACACACATATATATATATATATATATATATATATATATATATATATATATATATATATATATATATATATATATATATATATATCAAAACAACCATGAACATGAAGATATATATCATACATAATATTTCTCAGGCTCCGAAATCTTCGTGATAGGATCGTCAAAACACTAGAGAACATGCATATGCCACATTTGCGTATAAGAACATATAAGCAATTGAAATGAAAAACAAAACCTTAATTCCTTCGGAGAGAAGAAGGGTCGAGACCCGTTTTCCAGTAGAGAACGAATAGAACTAACTGGAACTGGGTTTTTCGCTATGGACGCAGGCCCTGCTTTTGATTTAACTACGCGACGAAGCAAGATGAGAGGAAAAGCTAGAGAGAGAGAGAATAGAAGAGAAAAGACTTTTCTTTTTCTCTCTCGTCCTTTTGCCTTGGGGTCAAAAAAGACGAGCCCTGTGCGGAGAGAGGTAGTCCTGGGACTACTTTTCTTTACCTTTCTTTGGCTCCTCCAATTCTGTTTCCCTCTCAAATGAAATGAAACTCAAATCCAAATGTAAATGAAATGCAAATTACAAATTTCAAAAAGACATATTATTATTTTTGGTAGACCCCACCAGTAGCATTTAATATCAGAACTGCCAAAAGAGTGGGATTGCCACGTGTCGGATAACCATAAGGTTGCAGAAACCGCCTTACTTCCTACTTCCACCGAGGCGGCCGGTTTTAGATTCCGGGGTTGTTCTCATGCTTTAAGAGTGTTGTGCGGTCCAGTTGGTGACGTGGACGTTCTTGAAACGCTGAGCTTCATTCCTATATCCTCACAGCCGGTTATTTTATCGAAGAGTAATCATAACTCAATCTAATCTATTTTATTTTATGAGATGTGAGCCGTTCGATTATAGTGGAGCCCATTAATTCAACCGCTCACATTCATTTGACGTACAATTTTAGTACACTAGTCATAACTCGTACTTAAAAACATAATAAAATTTAAAATTCGAGAATCCAAAAAATCGATCCCATTTTTTCAAAATATATTACCTACAAATTAATTAAACATTAAATAATAAAATATATGATAGAAATGAGTAGTGTGATATTTTTAAGAAAGAAATATATAAATGATTAAATATGTGATAAAAATAAGTGATGTGATTTGACGTTCAAGTCTGACAAAGAGATGATAGGTGAGGTAAGTGATTGGTGATAATTTTAAAAAAAAAAATATGATTGAGATAGAATTCAAACACACTCCTGTTTTATTATATAGATATAACATTGATACTTAATGCAACCGACTCCACTAGCAAAAAATTATTAATTTATATTAAAATATATCTCATCCAAATCCTTTTTAATAAAAGTGAAAATTATATATTGTTAGAATATTTTAATTAAAAGAATATTTTCTACGTGAGAACTCAATCTCACATCGACTAAATATTTAAAGATGGTTTTGGGACTCTCACGTGTGCAAGGGTAGAACTAGCGGAGGAGATATAAAATTTATGAACCACACTGGTATGCTTAGTTCACGACTTGGGTAGTGGGTCCCTCTGGCTCGCCTAGATGAATAGGCTGGACTGTTGTATCTTGCGGACGATGCACTATTATCATCTGCGCTGTAATTCTTTCATAAAAGAGCGCAAATCGTCTTAAGAGAGTGATCTAGTTCACTTCTCACCCTGTCGTTCACTTTATTTGCATCCAAATTTTTTTTCCAACATATATTTTTGAAAGGACTCGTATAGTCATATATAACTAGTCAAGCCGTGTACTTGTTCAATTTATTATTCTTGATAAATAACCGTACCATCTTTAGTTTAAATTATATTATTTTTTGTGTTTCTGTGACAAATAAAAATAATATTTTAAAACATCAACACGTAAATAATATCAAAAATTAAATATTGATAATTATATAATGGAGCACTCGCATTAACCGAAGGTTTAGGAAGCACTAACCATGATTAATTATTATTATTATTAATTTTTATTGTTGAAGTCACAGGGGATCACAATTGGTATGCTGGCGATGGAGGAAGTGGAGAAGATCGTTGTTGAAAGGAACTATACATAATTTGCCCACTACGACAAAGTTGAAGCTATCGACGAATTGATTTGGTCCAGCTTAGAGACTCTAATGATCGGTCTTTTAAACTCTCCGTCTCCCTCTTATCTTAACAACTTTAATATTCGGAGAATCATTAGTCTGACAAAGCATTTTTTAAATTCATGAAACTTACGAGGCATACCAATGTGGCACAGCCGCCTTAAAGCATTACTCATTAGTTGGTGTTTGTTTGGTGACTCGAGGGGAGAGTATTGCTTATAAGTAGTTACTATTAAATAAAATTAAATAATAAGTATAATAAAAAAGATTTAAATTTAATAATATATTAGATTAAAAAAAAAAAAAAGCTTTTTAAAAGACAAGGATTGGACAATATGTTCGTCCATAGACAAAACATGATGACTAGGATTAGAGAAGCAGAACTTAGAAAAGAAGTGATAGTATAACTTGGGGAGAGAGAAAGATAGGTTAGCATTCCTCACAGCCTATGTCTAATTTGTGGCTTTTAGTGCAGGTTGTGATGAACAGAAACAATAGGATGGGTCAAACATGTTCGGCTGAGGATTATCAATTGGCACATAACAAGTCAACTGTACAAACTCAAAGTCGACGGCCTCGCTGCCGTTGGACCCCACCAAAGACAGAAAAACGGGGACTGCAATCAATCGTGTTGACAGAAGTGAGTTTGGGTCAACAAAATATTTTAATTATATTTAATTTATTTATTAATTTTTATCTATAAATCATACCATGTAGGGTTTACGTTGTGTGAAAAAGAATCATGTGTATGTATTTTTGAATGAATTCACTTATATTTGATTCGTTTGTTAATGTAATATATTGTGTTGAATCCACTAATTTACGAAATAAGTAATTTAAGAAAAACTTAAATTCTTTAATTTCATGTCTTGTAAACGGATCGTATCATATTTTAATATTCCTACCTAAGATACACAAAAAAAAAAAATTATTTTCGTACTAAACTACTTACATTTTTCATCACGATGATCCAGCAGCTTTAGCATTCAGTTATGTTTATCGTACATTGCACCGAGCATGATCCTACTTATTTATTAGTTTTCTTCATCAATTGTTTTTCTCCCTTTATCTATGCATTTTGATCTCATTCTACTAAGGAATCTATGTTTGTTCCGACAATCTTGAAAGAGTCAGTCATACACGGGCCTTTTTAGGCATTTCAGCAATTCATATTAGGGTTTTTTGAAAATTGGTACAAAAAATTAAACTTAATTGTCAAAAATTACATAAAAAAAAATATTTTATAAAAAAATTCACTTAAGACATAAAAAGATTTGAATATCCTTTTATTATAAATAAGTTCCCTTATTATATAGATATACTATTTACTGTTTGTGCTTGAATGTATGAAGTAATAAAAAAAATAATAAATAATAAATATATTTGTATTTACACCCAAAATTAAATATCAAATATAGAAGAGAAAGAAAAAAATTAAGCACTGATTGTAGTGGGTGTGAGCGGTGGTAATGATAGTGAGCAGTAGTGGTTGTGGTGGGAGAATGTGATGGTTGTGGTGAGTGGCGGCGAATGTAGTGGTGATGGCAGTAATGAGTAGGAACGGTGATGGTGGTGATGAGTTTTTGGTAACGATGGTAGTAATAGTAGTCATAGGTGACGGCAGTAGTGTTGGTGGGGCGACGACGATGATGGACGGTGACGATAATGGTAGTGAGCAACAATGGGTACTTTGGGGCGACAGTGTGATGAGATGGTAGCAAATGATGGTGATAGTGGTAGTGATAAGTGTAGTGGACGTGGGTGACAATGAGTGGCAATAGTGGTGGTTGGTGTTGGTGGTAGGTGTGGTGGAAGTGGATGAAAGTAGCTGGTGACGAGGATAGGTGACAACGAGTGATGGTGGGCAACAATAGTGGTGGTTGAGTGCTAATGATGGGCAACAATGATAGTGTGATAATGGTGGTAATAGTAATTGATGATACTTAGAATGATTCATGAGCAGGAGCTCGGGAACGAAGGTCAAACATAAAGGTCAGGTATGCTGAGCTCAGAAAGTCAGAGTTATGCAGAGCTCAAAAAATCAGAGCTAGAGCTCTCCTCAAGCGAGATAATAAACTGAAGCAGTGAGGAAGCAATTGAATACTACAAAGAACTCTACAGGCGGTTTGAAGTAACACTCAAGGCACAAAATCCTCAACCAACCAAGATACTCTCTTAAGATCAAGGAGAATTCATCTGATAGATGGCGAGGATCACAGATCAGATCCCATAGATTAAGGGTCACCCCTATAAATACCATGTAACGCACCCATCAGAAAGGGGGGATCGAATGACCAAAAATCTATTCTGTAAACCTTTGGTATGATCAATAAAGAAAAAGGAGTCATAGCCTCTATTGAAGAGTGGATTAGCCGAACTTCCTAGTCGGTGAACCACTATATTTCTACTGTGTTAATTCCCCAACTCCCCAACAATTCTCAGTATCATTCCCTCGAGTCTAGTAGCTCAAATTCCAATAATTTTAATATTGTTTCTTTCATTTATTCGTCATCACAAAATTACATCACGTTGAAATACACCATCAGTAATAAATATAAGAATGAGATGACGATAGTGGTGGGTAGTGACAGTGAACGACGGTGGTAACAATCGATGATGGACGGCGATGGTGGTGGTGGTGGGAAGGTGATGGTAGTAAGGAGTGGTGGTAGTGGGGATAGTAGTGATGAGGCAGTAGGGGTGGTGGTGTGGTAGCAGTGGTAATGGTAGCGACGATGGTGGGGCTATAATAGTGGTTGTTGTGGTAGAGGTGGTGATGGGGTAGCAGTGGTGGTGGAGGTGATGGGATGGTGGGAGTGGTGATGGTGGTGGTAGGGCGGGTGGGTGTGGCGGTTATGGTGGTGGGGTGGCGATAATGAAGGTGACAATGACGGTGGTAGTGGTGATAGTGATGGAGCGGTTCTAAACACTACTTTTTTTAATAAAAAAAAATACTTATAAGAAATTATAAATTCTAAAAACCTCACACAAACATTTAGAGACCTATTTTTTCTATTAAATTTAGGATGTTAATATTAGCCACAAGATTAATTTTAAAGTAAAATTTAAAGATATCTCAACTATGAAAAGTAAAAGTTATTTTGTTTATTCTTTGATATTTGAATTGTATTATACTTTAGTATATACTAGTTATAGTTTGTGTCATAAGGCATCGTAAAATAAAAAAAATGGTCAATAATAAATATATTTATATTCATACTCAAAGTCAAATCATAAATATAAATGAGAAAAAAAAGAATTTAAATATTAGTTGTAGTGGGGGTAAGCGGTAATAATGGTGGAGGGAGACAGTGATAGTTATGGTGGATGACGACAATTACGGTGGTGGTGGTAATCGTGTGTGGCAATGGCGATAGTGATGGTAGATTTTGGGTGACGATGGTGATAGTGACAGCCATGGGTAGCGGGTGTAGGTGGTGGTGGGCGACGACTAATACTTTCTGGACAATAATGTGATGGGTGAGGGTGAATGGTGGTGGTAAGTGTGATGGGGAATGGGTGACAGTGGATGACGGGCATGGTAGGTGATGATGAGTGGTGGTAAGTATGGTGGGAGTGGGTTGTGGCAATGGATATCGGTGGGTGTTGACGGTGGTAATAAGATCTTGATAGTAGTGGTAATAAATAAAATAATGAGATGACAATGGGGGTGGGGGTGGGTGGTGACGGTGGACGAAGGTAGTAACAATTGGTGACGGGTGGCGATGGTGGTTTGTGACAAACGTAGTGGTGATGGTGGTTATGACAAAGGTAGTGGTGGGGGTGGCGACAATGACAGTGGCAATGGTGGCTGTTGTGGGGGTACTGGATGGGTGGTGATGAGATAGTGGCACTGGTGGTAAGGTGGCGGCAACGATGGTGGCTGAAGGGCGAGTGGGGGTGATGATAGTGGTGATGATGGTGGTGGGGAGATGAGAGTGGTGACAGTGGTGATAGGGCGGTTGGGGTGGTGGTTGTTGTTATGACAGAGATTGTGGTGGGGTGGCGACGGTGGTGGTGGCTATGAGGTGGTGGGGTAGTTTCAAACATTATTTTTTTAAAAGTATTTATGATAAGTTATAAATTTTCTAAACACTTTTGAAAAGACACTTCAAATACACTTTTATGAACCTATTTTTCCTATTAAATTTGAAATATTAATATTAGTCATCAAATTAATTATAATGTAAAATTTAAAGAAATTTCAACCGCGAAAAACAAAAGTCAGTTTGTTTAAATTTTTTTTGAAATTTGAATTGTATTGTATTTTATTATATAGACTAGTCATAAAAAAAATGGCCAACAATAAATATATGTGTATTCACACTCAAAATCAAATCACAAGTATAGACAAGAGAAAAAAATTTAAGCACCAGTTGTAATGAGAGTGATTGATGGTAGTGGTGGTGGGCATTAATAGTGGTGGTTAAAGACAGTAATAGTTGTGGTGAGTGACAATGACCGTGGTGATGACGGCAGCATGTGGATGATAACGATGATGATGGTGGTGGGTTTGGGTGACAATGGTGATAGTGGCAGTGATGGATGATAGCGGTGGTGGGCAGTGATAATAATGGTTGACAGTGGTGGTGGTGGGGGTAACGACAATGGTTGTGGCAGTGGTGGCCAATGACGATAGTGATGATGGGCAACGACGGGTGCTTTTCTAGGATATAGTGTGATGGGTGATACGAATGATAGTGGTGATGGGGGGTGGATGACAGTAGTAGACGACGACATGTGGTAGTGGGTTATCGTAATGGGTGGCGGTAGGTGGTAGTGATGGGTGTTGACAATGGACGAAGGTGGTAATGGGATGATGGTGGTAGTGAAAAAAAATATAAAAATAAGATGACGATGGTGGTAGGTGGTAGTGGTAAATGACAGTGATAACAATCGGTAGTTGGTGACAATAATGGTGGGGCAGTGGTAGTGATGGGGGTGGTAGCGATGGTGGTAGTGGTAATGGTCGTGGGGGCGGTGGAGATGTAGTGGTAGGGGTTATGGTGGGATAGTGGCGTTGGTGGTAGAATGACAACAATGGTTGTGGTGGTGGGGTAGCGACGGTGGGGATGGGGGGCGGGCGCAGTGGGGGTGGGAGTAATGGTTGTGGGGGTGGTGGTAATGGCGATAGAGCAGTGGGTATGGTGGTGGTGGTAGTGGAGTGGCGGCACTAGTGTTGACGACGATAGTTGTGGTTGTTGTGGAAGAAGTGGTGGTGGGGTGACAACGGGGATGGTAGTGGTAGTAGTGGTAATGTTAGTGTGGGGCGGTGAGAATGGTCTTGGTGGTGGTGGTGGAGTCATAATGGTGATGATAGTGGGGCGGTGGTAATAATGGTGGTAGTGAAGTGGTTTCAAATACTATTTATAAAAAAAAATACTTATGAGGAGTTATTAATTTTATAAGCACTTTTAAAAAGTCATCCAAATCACACTGTTATAACCCTATTTTTTATATCAAAATTTGGGTGTTAAAAGTAAAATTTAAAGAGATCTCAACAGCGAAAAATAAAAGTCATTTTATTTATCTTTTAATATTTGAATTATACTGTATATATATACACACATACCACTGCGAAGTCACACTATAAAGCATAGTTTCTATTATATTGCTTTGTTTTGCTATATTGTATTGATACACTTTAAATTTGTGTAATTCTTAAATTCTAGTTTCTATTACTCATGCATTGTTTTGTTACACTGTATTGATACACTTTAAATTTTTGTAAATATACCATAATAATATAATTGTTGAACACTTTTTTTCTTTTGGTGATTGTAGTTAATTTTTTGTTGGGGTAAAGCAAATGTATTTGATATTGTGATTGTGGATGTACTTGAACTCTTTAGTGTCTATTGATACACTTTTAAATTATAATTTCATATGAATTGAAATTATAAAATAATTTTATGTACATCATATAATTATGAATTGAACAAATTCATAACATCTATTAGTCTCGAAGAAATTATCACGAAAACAAAATACAAAAGAAGAAAAAAAATACAATTTAGAATTCAAAGAATAACCATTATTATAATGTTCAGTATTTAAAAACAAAATTGTAAAAAAAATTCATAAAATAAAAAAATATTAAAATTAACAAATAATCATTTGAAGGATGAAAAGTTAACAAAAAAAGTGACCACTCAATACAATAAGTAGAAACAAATACGAAAATTGTGAAGGGAAAAAACCTGAAACTAACTAATTGTCTGTGAAACGAAAAAAATAAAAAAAATGAAAGAAAGTATAAGTTCAACCTGATAATATATGAACGTTAGAGAATAAGAAATACAATATGATTAAGATTTTTTATGTTTGTTGGAGAATAATAGGTTTGAACTTTTTCGAACATTAATGACTGATAATTTGGAGAAGAAGAAGAGCGATGTTTACTGGCAACGATAATGATAAAAAAAATTTAAAATTCAAAATGACAGAGATATACGCAATTAACATTATATACAAATCTTGTGATAATATAATTCTTTCATTATATTAGAAAATCTTTAATACAATAAAACAAAATCAAAAATTTAATTAACAGCTAAAAGCAATATGTATGATTTAGAGGAAGATAAATGTTATAAATAAATCACAAAAAATTAAATTGTGTACTTAAACACAATTAAATTATGAAAATAAGGACTTAAAGACCTAACACTAAGAACTTTATACTTTTTAATAAATAATTCTAATTTCATGTAACTCTTCCTTCATATTACCTTAAGAATTGCTTCAGGGATAGCGTCTGAACCTAACGGTCTTGTTTCCTTTATCATTTTTCATGGGCCTTGGTTCGAACAGCACTCGATCCCATACAAAAAATTGAATCCGTGATTGTCAATTTGGTCATTCTTACGAACTCTTCGTTACTAATTTCAATGTGTTACATTTAACTACATATGCAGTTAAATATACCTATATTTGTGATGGACCCCACTCTTTTACTTCCCGACAAAAATATTTTTCTAAAACATGCAACTCTACAACAAGAAGTTATTTTGTACATCAGTGATTAAACAATATGACTTACTTATATGTTTTTCTGGCATTTTCCTTCTTATTCCTTTTTTTTAATTGGAAAAAAACACATAGTGGGACGATTGCAAACTGGGCCTGAAATGGGCTGAGCATTGACTGGCTGCCTTAACGGTATCATCTTAACGATTGGTCTTCCTCTTGGGCTTTGCAATTCTAAAGTTTCGGTCCATTAAGAGGAGATCCCTCCAAAACCCTCGTTGAGGTTTGCACAGAGAGGGAGAGAAAGAGAGAGAGAGACGCAGAATAAAGGTTAGCTATTGTTCTTCATTAGTGATTGAATTACGTTTGTGAACATAATTATTTGATATAAGCTTCTTTTTGATGCATTTTCTTCTTTGCTGTACTTTGTGTTTGTTCGTGTTTTGAGAAAACTGATTGCGTATTTGGTGTTGTGTTACCGATTTTAGGAGAAATGAGACTTATCAAGGGCATTCTATGGTCTGCTAATGTTAGCCTGTCTCGCCGATTTCAGCGACCTACGATGGTCAGGACCTTTTCTACCAGTCCATCTTCAGGTACTTTCTTTTTACACACACACACACACACACACACACACACACACAAGAGCAAAGCACCATTGAATTGTGTTCATCGGCTTTCATACTTGTAGCGTTGCTGTTGTAATCGGTAAATTACTTGTTACGTTCTATTGCTTTATATGCGCTTGCCCTAAATTTATGAATTGTAGGCCTTGCCTTAGTTTAATTTTTTCCACTGTGCTCAGTTAGAAAAGTAGTGTCTTCTAGGTGAGAATCTGTGTATCTTTCAGCTTCTAGATTTTTTTAAAACTGTTATTCACTGTTCTTGTCGGAGAGTTTGCAATCATAGACATTTATGTGGAAAGAGATCTCCGAAAGAAAATAAAATTTCAGGTCTGAGATTACCTTGTAATTGTGCAACTGGGATGGAGAGAGATCTGTTATATATAGGCTTGTTTTGTAATTTTGTTTCTTTCTTTGTTCTTTTTCCTCTTGTTTGGAGTTCTTATCCAAACAGGGAAATTCAAATTCATTTTATACATTAACTTACTTTTTTGTCAACTTAACTAATCCTATTGAATAAAAACTCAAATAGGGGCGTGTAGTTAAAAAGTTTCTTTTTCTTTTTTACTACCCAATCCTAGTTTTCTTTGCTTTTCCCTTGTTCTTGTGGAGCTGCTGACTTGCACTATGGCTCATCTTCAAGTTTGCCTTCTGTTCATTGTTGCGCTTTTGCATGATGTTGCCCATGCATACATATTTTTGTTTTAGACCACCTTCAAATCGGTGGGAAGATGTATTTTGTTATGTGACCACTATGCCATTACTTCTGAAACTATAGAATTTTTCGCATGCTTCTGATTACATTATATGAGAATTTTCACTCGTTCTTGTTAGGATGATTGTATGTCTGTAGTTTACCTTTATTCCTCTTCTTTTGTTTAGTTCACCCATGCAACCTCTTATAACTTCTTGAGATTTCCAGTTCTATGCACTGATTACATAATCAATCCCATGTTTCTACCACTTCAGATGGTCTTGGGGACAGTGTGTGTCTATTCTGAGTGGGCCTTACTTCCTTCCTTGAACTTGAAATTACATCCATGTTGATCCCTATGGCCTCTAGCCTTGTTGTTGTCAGTATCACAATCCTTCACTAGCGATTCGGATACCTATAGCAGCCACATAAATGCATGTCCACTGCCAAAAAAAAAAAAGAAGAAAAAAGCTACATGCATGTGATTGACTGGTTTTTATGTGATTTCACATTGGTAATTCTGCATGACACCTTCAGACCTGCAGTTTCCATTTAATTTGTTAGAGGTTGCATCATGCATCATGCATGGCAATTCTAGGTTCTAGTCACATAGATTTGTGTTTTTATGAGCTCTTGATATGGCCTCCTATGGAACTCCATTATTCCATATTTTATTTTTTGTATCTGCACAGATACTGTTGACAACCAAAGCACTAATTCATTTGAATCTGCCGATGCCTTTGAGCGACGGATTTTTGGTGATATTAACGGGGATGGTTCAAATTCTAGTTCCTTTTATCAGAAGCTTGATAGGGTTGAAAAAGCGCATGACAGATCCGGTCTGGGTTCTAAATTCAATTTTGGAAAGAGATCGGAGTTTATGGATGGTCTAGATGAGAGCTTCAGTACATTGTCAGATGGGATGGATGGGAAGTTGAAAAAAGCAGCTACATACTTTGAGTATGATGTTGATGAGATAGATAAAGATGACTATGCTTTCAGACCGGATATAACTTTTAGGGGGGCGACGACCTACGACACTAAGGTATGAATTGTGAATTAGGGTTGCTAAGGTATCTGTTTTAATTAGTTGCAATTTCAGAATGATATGTTTTTACAATTTTGTTTGATGCTGATACCTCACTTTTAAGATTTGGTTTTGAGGTTATCCATGGTTTATACGTACGATGATGATATTGCTCCTCCATTTATCCTGGCGAGGGAAGTTACAGACTTTGCTCTTAATTAATGGCGGCCTTCCTCTGTTTAAACTGGCACTGGAGAAAGATTTAATTATTTATGGATTTTTTTATTGAGGTTGGGTGGGCACAGGCTGTTTTCATGCTTCGTTGATAGTGAATAAGTATCGCTTGAAGTGTGATCACAACCAAATTGTTGTAAGCTGCTTCAGATTTCACCCAAATATTCTGTTAGGAGGAGGAAACTGTACAGTCAATCGGCCATTTTGGTTTATTATACCTATGTTGTTGCTAGCCTTTGTGAAACAAAGCTCTTGAGGTCAAATGGATAATGCATTATACACAAACAGATAAGCACATTGTATGACGAAGCTTCCTGAGTCCAGGTTTTGCTCTGCAACATTTCTTCGGTTTCCACGTCCAAAATGAAATACATTACTCTGAAATTTTCATTATGACCCTATGTTCTGTACTTTTTTCTGTGATTTTTTTTTTGTTCTCCATCACTTTGTGTATGTGATACTGTTATATGATTCTCAGCTAAGTAAAATTCTACGCAGGATCTTGATCTTACAAAGCCAGGTGTACGTAAACCTTTCAAAAGGCCTGAATTTGAAGTAACAACTGAGGAAGTTCTGAGGAAAGCTGATTTCAGGGTGAGCGTATTTGGATTTGGCAGATTAATAATTGTATCCCTAATTTTTGGTGAGCATCTGCCCAATTATGTTCTCTGAATGTAGTAGTGTAGTTAAGGACACTTTTGGTCATTTTGCATGTGATCTGAACAAAAGAGGAGTAATAAGCAGTCGTAATTTTCTTTTATACGGTATTTACCACCTGCATTGATTCAGATTCAAGATTGTTTGTTCAGTGATGGATCACAATTTTCAATACACATCGTACATCTGTGATGTGATCTTGGTTCCAACTAGTATCTTTCTTTTAGCTGCCCATATTAGTCTAAATTGAGTTGGTCCTGCTATGTATGGCCGGGATCGGTGTGGTTTAAAGGCAGCCTCCTCTATTGATACGTTGAACAATGTGAATCATTGAGTTATCGGCTGACCACACTTCATTGCCTTATGGTTTTGAAAACAATGACCATTCACTCACTTTCCTTCTGTGTGTCCTTGAACTGATCTTGTTTCCATTTAGTTTGATTAGTTTGATCAGTCAGTAAAAACTTTATTTTTCTCCTTTCCTGCCTGCCTCTGCTATATTTTTTCCAAGAAACATTTCACCATAGGTCAGGAATCTTATTTCTGGCCCAACAAGTCGCTGTTGCAATTTGTCTCTGTATGCCTTCTGTTCACGCAAGGTTGTTTCAAATACCCAATCCTCACATGCCCACCTCATAAGACAAGTTAATTCATACTTGTGCATGATTATATATTCAGATGTTTGCTTCACTTGACTAACTTCTGCAAATGCTCTGCTCAGAATGTGAGATTTCTTGCCAACTTTTTAACAGAAGCTGGAATCATAATTAAGAGGAGCAAGGTAACCGAAAGGATATGCAATAAATAGACTTCAATTGAGTCCATAATGAAATGTGATTTCATTTTTTATCATTGTTTTCCTTGTTTCATTCTGTAGACCAAAATTAGTGCCAAGGCCCAGAGGAAAGTTGCTAGGGAGATCAAGACAGCCCGAGCTTTTGGTCTAATGCCTTTCACCACCATGGGAACAAAACAATTTGTTTTTGGCAAAACTATGGAGGATCTTGATGAGGATTATGAATATGACACCTTTGATTCTCGAAATTTTGTTGATGCAGAGCCAAGTAGAGGCCGTGGTGCCTAGGGACTCGTGTCCTCTTTGGGATTAATTTTTGTTTCCAAGATCTATGGAATTCGGTATGCAAGATTAACACTTAATATGTGCAAACTATCATTCCAGCACACATTATTCCTTTGGCTCAATGTTTATTGACATGTACCCTTTTTTTGTGCAGTGAAAATCATGCCGGCTTAACTGCGTGGTGGTCAGGTTTATAGGACAGTGATACTCCTGTCTTTTTGCAACTTCTATCATTCCACTTGCATGTGCCCACAAAGAATTTGAGGTTTTCCATGGAATGCCCGAGTGTTGCCCTGCCGGCTGGGGCTGACCAACCCTCCATTCTGTCGCAGGTGTACCCTTACTGTGTAACCAATGCAGTGACTAGGGATGATACCATCATTAAGGCTACTTTTTTTGTGTGCTATCAGATATCTGAGTATGGTGCCTAATTTTATTTATCCGGCTCTTTGGATCTTAGGATGTTTTAGCCTTAAATTAAAGGCTAGGTTCAAACGAGGAAACACCTGCTGTGTATACCTAGGAACTCAAAGGCAAGGTAGGACATGGTAATTCGAAAGTAACAAGACGCGTTGGGGAATTGAAAATAGGTAGGTTGTTAAAAAAGTCAAACTGCTTTGTAGATGGGAAAAGGATCCTCTACGGGGAAGTAAAAAATAATGAAACAGGTTGCTAGGACATGCCGCTGCTTATGGGCCTATGGCCTCCACTTCGTGAGAGAGAACACCAAATAGAATTTTTTTGGCGCAGTTTGGTGATTTGAATCTTTGTCTTTTTCCTTAAATATCTTGGTTGATTTTTTTGTTTTGTTTTTTTTTTTTTTTTGTGTTGCGGTCAAGGGTATTCAAGTCAGTTTACGTATATCTCAATTATTTATTTATTTATTTATTTTTTGGTCTAATCAAAGGTAGGATATGTTGCGATTAAAAAATTTATGAGGAATAAATCTTGCATGACTTGACTATAAAGGAGTTATTCAATTTTAAATTTAGGATGTCTAGATTTACAATTTATTCATATCTCTACCTGACTGTCTCATATCTTGGTTGTTTTAATGCAAGCAAGGTTTTTTTTGGTTGGACTCTTAATGAGGGGGAGGGGGAGGGGGAGGGGTGGAGGGGGGGGGGGGGGGGGGCGACCAACAGATAGTGATCCCACTGGGCGTGACCATGAGGGCCTCTTCCAAATGTGGAATATTTGGTTAGTTATAGCTACAGACCTCTTTTGAGTAACCTGTCACCACACCACCATCAGAGCCTGAGTAGTAAAGACACGGGAACTCCATGGATTGAACTCCACTTGCTAATTACGTGGGAGTCATGGTACGACCCAAAAATGCGAGCAAGGTTTGAACTTGCGTTTTTTAATGTAAAAGTAAATTTTGAAAACAAACAGGCCAACCCTGTGTGAGTCTGAAAGGAGAACCAGTGCCATTAATGATTCCCAAAATGGAATCTCCAAAGGTAGTGCGAGATTTGATTGCATTGGAGAACAATTTTACATGTATTTGTTGGAACCCAGTTTCTGGTAAGACTAGCACCAATGGATTATTGTCAATTTTCATTCAAATAAGAAATGTGGTGGAAACCTTATTGCTATGGACAGCAACGAATCTGATGATCTTCCAGTTCTAGTGTCAGCTCCGTGACATACCACCAGATTCCAGACATGGCACTCATGCCCTAACATACACTCCTACAATTGGAGAGTTGGGGTTGATCTTCCCACAAATTGGTCTCTCTATCTTTTTTATTTTTTATTTTTCCTTTTGTTACATGGTATTTAGGTTTGTGTCGACTATTTCTTCAAACTTAATGGTTGACCACAATGACTTCAATTGAATTAGAGCATGTTCCTAAAAGAATAATATTGGCTAGCCCTTAAGAAGTATAAGAAGGAATTGAACTTAAGACATTTAGGTTAGTAAAGGTCTAACCTAGACTAACCCCAAAGGTTTCACATAGAAAAAACCGTTTATGGTCTCTCTACTTCAATAGCACTGTTAGAGCATAATATTTTTATATTTTAGATTTATTGTCATTTTTTTTTACAATGGAAACTAGTCACAATTTGTGTCCTTTAAGACTAATATATATAATAAAGTATAATACAATTTAAATATTAAAAGATAAATAAAATAATTTTTATTTTTTGCAATTGAGATTTTTTAAATTTTACATTAAAATTAATTTGACAGTTAATATTAATACTCTAAATTTAATAGAAAAAATATACCTCTAAGATTGTATATGGGTGATTTTTTAAAAGTGTTTCTAAAAATTATAATTTTTCATAAGTATTTTTAAAAAAAATATTGTTTAGAACCGTCTACCACCGCCGTCGCCGTCGCTGCCACACACACTGCCTCCACTCCACCACCACCACCACTATTATCATTACCACTATCGCCACCCTACCCCCACTATCGCTACCCTATCATCATTGACAATGTCTCGCCATCACCTTTACCATTATCGCCCCCACCCCCACCCCCATTGCCCTGCCCCCACCCCCACCACCACCACCACCACTACTACCACCACCACCACCACCACTATTATTATCACCGCCACCCTTACCATCACTGCCACTGCTCTACCACCACCCTCACCCTACCACCACTACCCCATTGCCACCTCCACCACCATTATCTTCTCATTTTTATATTTATTATGATTATCATCATTATCTCACTATCACTGTCGCCCACCATCAGCACCCACCACTATTATTGTTGCCTACCACCACACATCGTCACCCATTATTACAACCTACCTTCACCTGTTGTCGCACACTATCGTCGCCAACCATTATCACCCACCTCTACCACCATTAACAGTCATCACCCACCACTGCCATTATCCACTATCACTCACTCCCATCACACTTACCATCATTGTCATTCATCACCACTCATCATCCTGTCACCCAGAAACACCATTCATCGTCTATCACCGCAACCCATCATCGCTATCACCATCATCATTGCCCCGCCACCACCACTCCTAACCAGCATCACTATTGTCCACCACCACTTACATTTATCATTACTACCACCATCACTCATGGCTGTCATTACCACCACTATCACCCAAAATCCATCACCACCATCACCCAAAACCCACCACCACCATTATTCTTACCATCCATCACAATCATCACCATCTCCCACCACCATTGCCACCGACCACTATTACCACCGTTCATCCCCATTACAATTGATGCTTAAATTTCTTTTTCTCTCTTTTATATTTGTGATTTAATTTTAAATATGAATATAAATATGTTTATTATTGATAATTTTTTTTATTACTCTGTGCTTTTGGATACAAACAATAACTAATTATTCTATATAACGTATACTCTAAATACACACAATCACCAACAAAACACACACTTCCGATTATCAATGCTATCTCGAGAGAATAGAACTTTGATAGCATCAACCTTTCTCCATTAAAATTGAGTTGCGAATTCTCAGATTCTCCGATGGGTCCTACTTACTAATCAAATCATGGAGCATTAGCAAAAATATTACCTGTCGCGCCATAATGACGTGATCCTATATTTCGACATTTTCCTGGGAAATTCATAGACATTGACAAAGTAAAGGATCAGAGTTGGTGGGCTGTCACGGTTTCCTCGGTAAAATGATTGTCTGTCTGATTCGGTAACACAAACCTATTGGCTAGAAGTGGTGCATTAACGGTTTCTAATCTCAAATAGAGACAAGTCTTTCATACTCAACCGAGTCAACCCACAAGAATAATTGTTGAAAATGCGAGGTTTCAAGGAAAATCACTGAGCTTCCATTAACACGCAACTAGATATACAGCCCCAAATGCATTTATGCAACAATAAAATTAGGTAACATCATCACTATCATCATGAACTTAGATCAAATATTAAAGTGGGTCTCTCACAAATATATAATAAATTATTGAATTGATGAAATTTGAGATGATTTAGAATTGGAGAGGATGAAAATCCGAATTTAAAATTCATTTTCGTTGCACAATAATTGCCTTACGTAAGCAAGCCATAATGTATATTTGTTAAGATTCACACCCACCTCAACACTAGATTCCCTCAATTCTCTCAATAAAATTTACTCATGGATCATTGAAGTCCTTCTTTTAAACACTACCCAAAAAAGAGAATAAAAGTTTTCTGATTCAGAGTATTCTTCACTCAAGGAAGAGGGGGGGGGGGGGGGGGGGGGTGATTTGAAATGATGACATGATACATTTTTGTCATGTGAAACTGTGATGGAGAGAAGCTGTTTGGTGGGCTTGGGACCCAAGGAATATATGATATATATCAGGCAGTATATGGCACAGAAACTATTCTTCACAAAAAGGTCACTCTAGGATGATTACTCAACACACACCCATTCCATAATTTCCAAGAACTTAAAGATCAGGCTTGGGTGTAAAGCTTTTTAGTCTCTGCATCAACCCATCTCCACCTTCAAGGGACCACACCCGCCCAAACTTGCCAGTTTCTTTCACCTCACTCTCTCTCTCTCTCTCTTTGCAATGCACAACTACATAACAGACACTTTCCAAGCCCCACAATCCCAACCAGTCACATGAAAACACCACTCTCCTCCACCACCATCACCTTCATTATCATTATCATCATCAGCACTACCATCTCTCCACCACAACCTGTCACCAGCCTCGGCTCAAGCTCCACCATTGCTATTAGCTACAGCTCAAACTCTGCCACCACTGTCTGCGGCATCATTGCCGGTGCATCCACGAAGAGAATTCAATGCTACAAACAGGGCCAAATCGTTTCAATCCAACCCAACCTCTCTTACGAGTCCATCTCAGGTGGCCACGGCTTCTTCTGCGGCCTACGCTCCGGCGGCTTCAGTCTTCTCTGCTGGAACACAACAAATTTTCATGTCAAAAGAATCTATTACAGTTCTACACATCGGTTAACTAATTTAACGGTTGGGAACTCTCAGATATGTGCAACTCAAGCCAACAGTGGTGTGGCCTTTTGCTGGAGGTTCGTGTCGCCGGAAGTGGCATGGAATTTCCTTACAATCACCTCAGGTGGAGGGTTCTCTTGTGGGATACTGGAGAAAAACAATGCAATGAGGTGTTGGGGTGGTAGTGAAATTGAAAATGTAATTCAAACCCAGTTTGGCAATGCCACTATGTTGAGCTTGGTAGCTGGTGAGTCCCATGCTTGTGGAGTGACAAAGAATGGCACTTTGATTTGTAAAGGCCGCAATGTTGCTGGTCAGCTTGATGTCCCTCCTCATTCAGCATTCGACTTTTCGACTCTTGCCTTGGGCGCAAATCATAGTTGTGCAGTGAAAAGAAAGAATGGATTGGTGGTGTGCTGGGGAGGGAAACCGGAAAGATCAGGATTTGATAGTGGGGTGATGAACAATGAATCATTTGAGTCGATAGTAGCAGGTTTGGACTTCACATGTGGCTTGACTACAAAGAATTTATCAGTGATTTGTTGGGGGCAGGATGGTCCGGTGGGCTAACTTCAGGGACCTTAGTTCCACTAGCAATGGTGATTCCAGGTCCTTGTGTTCAAGCTTCATGTTGCACTTGTGGAGTGTACCCAAATTCTCATACTCTTTGTGCTGGTTCTGGGATTATATGCAAATCATGTGAGATTGAGCTTCCAATTCCAGCACTGTTACCACCAATTCCACCATCGGCACCACCATCCCAGGTTTTACAGCCAAAATCATCACCATCCAGGGCCAAAAACAGGTTTTTTCTGGTGTGTGGCATTGTCGGATCAGTTGGGGCTTTTGCTGGCATTTGCACTATTGTCTACTGCATATGGAGTGGTGTTTGTGGGTTCCTGCACAAGAAAATACATAATTCAGTGCAGCCAACAATTGCTATGGCAAATGGGGATGTTGTCTCTCCATCAGAAAACGGTACTAATAAGCCACTATCAAAATCACCAAATTTGGCCCGCGAAAGTTCAAGAAAGCTTAGGCACCAAAGAAGTGGGACTTCATTCAAGCACACAGACACAGCTGAGAAATTTTACCTATCAGAGCTTGCTGCTGCCACAAACAACTTTTCAGTGGAAAACAAAATTGGTGGTGGGAGCTTCGGCACAGTTTACAGAGGCAAGCTTGTTGACAACCGAGAAGTGGCCATAAAAAGAGGAGAGACTGTTTCTAAGATGAAGAAATATCAAGAGAAAGAAAGTGCATTTGACTCTGAGTTAGCTCTGTTACCTCGACTCCACCACAAACACCTGGTGGAGCTCGTTGGATTTTGCCAAGAAAAGGAGGAGAGGCTTTTAGTTTACGAGTACATGAGCAATGGAGCACTACACGACCATCTGCACAGCAAAAACAATGTTGGGAAGAGCAGCAGCATTTTGAATTCTTGGAAAATGAGAATCAAAATCGCATTAGACGCTGCAAGGGGAGTCGAGTATCTGCATAATTATGCAGTACCACCAATAATCCACAGAGACATCAAGTCCTCAAACATTCTTCTTGATGCAAATTGGACAGCAAGGGTGTCTGATTTTGGATTATCATTGCTGGGGCCAGAGTCTGAGCAAGAGACCATGTCGATCAAGGCAGTTGGGACAGTTGGGTATATTGATCCTGAGTACTATGTTCTTGACATCTTGACAGCGAAGAGTGATGTCTATGGCTTAGGAGTGATCTTGTTGGAGCTTTTGACAGGGAAGAGAGCTGTATTCAAGGAAGCAGGAATGGGTCCGATAGGTGTGGTAGAATATGCAAGGCCTCGAATATCAGCTGGAGAATTGATGAGCGTATTAGACAAGAGGGTAGGTCCACCGGAGACTAACGAGGCAGAGGCAGTTGAGCTAGTGGCTTACGCTGCTATGCATTGTGTGAAATTGGAGGGTAAAGAGAGACCAAATGTGGCTGAAGTTGTGGCTAGCTTGGATAGGGCGCTGGCTCTTTGTGAGGACAGCTCATGTAGTCACTCTAGCACAACATTCTCCGTTGCTTTCCAACATAATTTTTTCTCCGAAGAAGAATCCATGTAATTCTCTCATTGTTGTCAACAATTTGTGTATGTGGTATCATACAAATATATACTATGCAATACGCGGGTTTTACGCCTCTCTCATACATACCACCCCCATTCAAGCGTCCTCACTCCACCTTCCGAGGCCTATCAGTCCCCCACCCCATAGTCCCTGCCCTCCAATCCGTTTAATTTGTGTATTATTAATAGAGATTGTAGAGAAATTAAAATACTCATTGGATTACTTATAAATTTTAAGATTAAATGGAACCCACAAATTAGGTCATAGGTTAGGTATTTAAGTGGAATAAAAGGCGGCCTATTGGACTCTGTCCTGATAGGTCTTTAGTGGGTTATCCATTGGGCCAGTTCTAATTGGTCTTAATCAAGTCATAGCTTTTTATTTTATAAAAAATTTAAGAAATTTATTTGTAGAAAAGTTATCAAATCATAATTACTTTGATGGGTGTGGGAAAAACATAGAATTCCAAACTCCATTACAGAGCTCCAGCTTTTTTGACTATTAAAATTTTAAGCATTGTGAGAGTTTTAAGGCTCTGTAATTTAATTTTTTTATGATTTACACTTTAAAATCAATAAAAAAAATCTGAGTTTTTACTTTTTTTTTTCTTTTTAATATAAGTTGAACAGCCCGTTTGAGCGGGCCAGTGTAAGCCACATGGTCTAACCAAAGGCAGGTCCATCACTAAGAGACCAAATGGAGAATATTTTGGGCTTATTTGTGGCCCAATATAAACTGGGCTAATGGACTGACTCAATATATCATGCTGTACGGCCTCTCTACTTGAGTTTTAACTTCATTAATCTCGGCAACAAAGATCAATTAAGTTAACCAGCATGGATTTGGTTGAACTGTAGATTCGGACGTCAAGGGTTCGACTAACTAGTACTTATGATTTGTAAGTGATTGCAGTATCTAAATTTATTCTCATAAGGATGAATTCAAAATAACCCTCCCAGTTCAAAACCCCCGCCCCCCTCCCAAAAAATAAAAAAAAAGAGAGAAGTCAATTTGGTTGGCCCAATAACTGATAGTTAGGCCCACTAACTGGACAAGAGTATTTCGTCTATTAAGAAGGATTCTCCAAATACTTGAAACAAAGATGATCATAGAAAATGCGAAATATTTAATAAGATCCGTTTTGAAAAATGTAGAATATAAGAGAAATTTAAATGTTATAACTCTAGCAAGATAACACAAAAGCCCCTCCGTTCAGTTTCCTTCTTATCGGAAATCTAGCGAAATAGTTCTTAGAGCCCTTTCTTATCAAATTTACGAGTCTGTTCTCCAACCCGACATTCTTGATGTGAGAAAATAATGAGATAAGGGCTAGCTTAACCATGTAGCTAGTTTTGACTTTTTATCTGAGTAATGTGCAATTATTGTATCCCATTTTTTATATACCATAATAAATTACCTCTCTCTTCGGTTGGGACAATAACTGAGTGTTGAATATTCTGCTTCAATGTCGGAAAGATTTTTTAGAATCCAGAGTTGTGGGCTGCATTGGGCCCTTTGGTCTGATAGTCAGGCCCGCTAATTGGACCGAAGCAATTCCTGTGGTGGGTCCTATCATGGGCCCTTGGGGTGCAACTTAGGCGGGCCGACCTGAATTTAACCTGAGTCCAATTTAAAAAAACAAAGTTTGAGTTAAAATTTTTATTACTTGGATTGAGCATGAGCAAAAAAATTTCAATCTGAATTGAATTCGGACAAGCCTCAAGTTAAGGCCTCGGGTTGTTGGGTTCAGCCTAAATATTAAAATCGAATTGAACCCAAATATACATAAATACATAAATATATTCAACTAAGGCTAGTGTTTATCTTCACTTTATAATTCAGACTTTCGTTTCACTTCAAATCTTCACTCCTGCGCCTCCATCACTCTCAGATCCCTCTCTCACTCATCTCTCGTCTCTCATATGATCTCAGTCTCTCTCGTCTCAGACTCTCAGCCCCTTTCTCTCACTCGTCACTCGTTTGATTCGTCTCAGACTCTTAGTCTCCCTCTCTCACTCATCGATCCTCTCTTTTTTATCAGCTTGAATTAAGTAATTTGAGCTCAATTTAACTTTTAACCCGAAATTAGTCTAAATTAAGTAACGTGAGCCCGCTCAAATTAAATTCGGGCAGTACGCGAGTTAAGGTAGGATTAAAGTTAGGATAATGGTTAAGGGTGAAGATTATATACCTAGAATTGGTTTAAGATTGACCTTTCAATTCGTCCAACCCGTCCGAATTGCATCCCTAATGAATAAATGTTTTCGTTGGGTTCAAACTTCAAAGTAGATTATCAACATTTAATTTTTTTTTCTTCATATAAATTCAATTGATAGAATTTAAGGATTTAGGGTTCATGATACAAATATGCACATTTAAAATGAATCGAAGGTTTTAATTAATGTATGGTTTGTGACAATGGATCATCAATTTCAGACGAAGATTCAGAATCATGAGTAAAAAGAAACAATTGAAATGGAAGAAAAGATTACCCCCATTACCAAGAGAGAGAGACGGTGAGAGAGCAAGATCAACATTATGGTCAACTAAGGAAAAAGATATCGAAAAAGCTTCGAGTTGGAGTGGAGGCACTCACATTAGATGAATTTAGATAGATCAGATGCAGAAGGAGAAGGTTGTTGAATATCTCTACTATGACTTCTTCCTCTTTTTCTGTTTCATTATCCTCTTGCTGTGTCAAGAAACATTGTAGTTGTCGATGATTACTGATAAGCTCTCTCATGGCGCCATTATCCCATTGACGTTTTCGAACACGCTTTTAATAATGTCTTCTGGAGGTTCAACTGCACTCAACTTCAATACTCTCCGGCTACTGGAGATGCACTCGAATTTGTTTCACACACACACACACGCACAGAGAGAGAGAGAGAGAGAGAGAGAGAGAGAGATGGCAGTCGGTTTTACTACATGATCTATGAAGGAATGAAGGAATTAGATAAGCTTGCATTGATAAATAAAAGAATGAAGTCTCAGGAAGGAGTTGCATCTAATTAAAGTGGGACATAGAATATTTTATTAGGAAGGAATGTTCTCCAAACCATTGTTGAGGAATACAAGAAAGTTAGGAATCAAATATGGGAAAAGTGTTTACCATATGTCACACAACTTAGAGAAGACAAAAGAATAGCACCTCTTCTAAAAAGAACACAACTTAGAGAAGACAAAAGAATAGCACCTCTTCTAAAAAGAAGATGCACAAAGTTTTTTATTTCCTTTATTAGAAGGCATAAATAATACACAAATCTCCTACAATAAATTACATTCAGAATTCTCAAAACCAAAGATGAATAAAGTAAACACTATAGTAAACAGCCACAATATGAACATCAAACTGTGGAGTAAATATTCACTGCAACGGTGACAACACGTTATCACCGTCCTGTAGTTGGTGACACCACGTGACGGTGATAACGTTGTGTCACGGTTGCATTGAATATTTTCTCCAGACTGTGGGGGCTCAGACATGAAGATGAAAATGAAAATTTCAGACAAATTCGAAGCACATGAGAAGCCTCACTGAATTGAACTTCTTTCCTTTTTGGTCACACAGGGGGACTGCGCATATCCCGGGCCTCAATTCAGAAACAGGTGAGCATGTTTGGCCAGCAAAATCATTCTTCTCAGCTATGTCATGCTGCTTTACTTCAATTCGAAGTAAAGCCAGCTCAGGAACTGTCAATGGAAACGAAAACTCTTCATCCCAAACAGGGGTCCAACTATCCTTCTTTATCTTTGTTTTCTTCATTATCTCATCAGCAGGCACTCCAGCAATGCCCACCTGGTTTTCTTAGTGGTTGATCATGACATTTTGTTTGATGATCATCACCAAAGGAATTTAACTAAGGAGTAAAAAAGGTAAATTATATGCAGAATGAGGCAAATTCATTAAAACGGGGAATCTTGTATACGATATAAAAAGAGGGATCCTCGTCCACTTTTGCATATGAGCAAGGCAGAAAATTGATAACAACGTCGCACCCCACTTACCCTAGTGTAGGAGTCAGGTGGTGAATACAAATCAAAGTGAGTTTTCTTAAAATCCAAATGCCATCCATCTCCCATATACAGTTTCACCTGTCAAGTAACATAATGGTGTAAGAAGAAATATATTTAAAAGGAAGTCTTGTGTTTGTTTAGTTATTTGTGTACCTTCAAAGTTTTCTTCACAGGCATCCTTGCCTTGGGATTAAACAACTGATTATGTGGACCAATATTCGTCAAGAAATCTGGTTTTTTCACATAACCACACCTTCCATTGGATCTGAACATCCCGTGCATCAACCAGAGTGCTTTATCATATCCCTGCCATTTGAACAGTAACACATCAGTTTTGGAAAGATTCATGGAGAAAAGTTTTTATTTTCTCTATATTGTAAACTTGTAACACTCAAAAGTCCACATTTCTTCACCATTAGAATGTACTTTTAACCAAACAAAATACTTCATGTAAAAGCACAGTTCTACCTGAATTACCATAAAACCAACATTTTCAGTTACCGATGGTCCAGAAACTCGTATTTTCTCCTTGCCAATTATAATTATCAGGATCAATCTATGAACTCTGATTTACATCTCTCCCAATGTGCTTTTGATGGTCATTTAAATCAAGTAGTAGTTTTGTACGTAGTATGTGGTTGGTTTTTGATTACTCTTTTGAGAGTTTACCTGCTGCCTGAAATTGATAGAAGATAAGAGAAACTTAAAGAGACATAGACATATTATGAACCCAATCCCTTGGAGAAGAAGAAAACAAAGTCACTAGTGTAATTTCTTTCTTTTTATTTTACTTGCCGCAACTATCAAGGCAGTCCAGGCAAGAGAAAAGCATACAAATGGTCCAGTCAAATGGTTTACAGAAAATAGAATATTGATAGTCCAGCACTGCCTTTGGTATGAAACTAACTCTCAAGGAAATACAAATTGCTTAGAAGTATATACAGTTTAAGACAAATTCAAATGCATAGGCTAGCAATCAAACATATTGCAAATGGTTTCAAATGCTTCATTCAGAAAAATATGTAAAAAATGAATAAACGGGCAGCTGCAAATAAGCACATAAAATCAAACCTGCATGTTAAATGCAACCATCTGAGCTCCATGCATCCAACCAATTCTTGGATTGTAGTTGGAGGAGTTAAACCGAGTACCTATTGGGTACACCCTGAGGATGTGCTTCTGGGTGAACCTTGTGATTAGATAAAACACCCATCAGAGTGGATCACTCTAAAACCTTAACATAACCAGGGCATTACTTTAGGTATCTACTGTATCTTACATTAAAATGTTTGATATATACCTCACAACATCCAGACCATAGGATTCAGCCGCATTTTCAAGTGCTTGTTCACTCAAACTAAGTTGCCTAACTTTGTCAATTCCAACTCTTAGTGCCTCCTTTAACCCAGCTTTGGGTTTTCCTGCAGGAATGGCAATGAGACGCTTTTATGTAACTGATGGATGCGATTTTTTGTCATAATTGTCTTGGTCATCCTTGCCCTGATCACTCCAATCACTGTCACTCTGCAAACCAGATAAAATGTTCAACAACTAAGCAACTAAGGATTCAGGTGAGGTGGAAATAAAGCTAAGTCATGAAAACATAATATTTTCACACACCTTGTCATTATTTTGTTGATCAGAGTCATCAGATGTAAGGCTTGATTGTTCCTTCCCCCATACACATTCATCAGAATCTTTCAAATTCTGTGACTTATTTTGCTTGCCCTGGAAACTTTTATCTTCAACGCACTCTTTTGGAGGTTTGGTTGAAATAATAATGCGATATTTCAACTCCTCTCGGGAAGGAAACTCTTTTAAGCAAAAGAGCATTTCTCCAAATGTATTATTGATCAACTACAAAAAGAACAAACAAAATTATGTAACAGGTATTTTAAATGAAAAAAAAAAAGAAAAGAATTTTCTACGACCTTAAAAAAGGAGGCATTTTGTGAAAGATAGTATTCACCTGAGCTACTTAGCCTGAAGATCTGGTGTGAGGTGGTCTTCCAGAGTTATTATGGCAGGGTATGGGGAGGCAGAAAAGGCATATTTTTTAATTGATTTCAAACATCTTTCGAGCTCCACGGGAGTTGTCACCGTCCTATTAAAACAATACACAAATTCTAATAGAAAATATATTAAGGGGGAGAAGAAAAAGAACCTACGGTAATACAAACGTTCAGTAGCTACGTTACAATAAAGAGAGATAAAAACTACACCAAGCTTCACTCATTTTTCTTTCATTGATGTTTCATTGGATGTTGGGTACTAGTCCAGATACCAACTTCAGTAGATGCACTAATAAGCTGTTTGACTCTTGCACAAGATCCATGGTGATTAGGAACTTCAAACATATATGTCAGAGCCACATAACATGCTAAATGCAAAAAACGGCACATTTTAAGATTTATAAAGGGAACGAGGTTTCTTTGTTTTGTGAAAATTAATACACGCCTAGAACTTGTTTCTTTTGATAATGAAAATTCATGAAAAGGCTCCGAAATGGGGCTGCAACCCATTCCTACAATCCATTTCCGTAGAGCTTATCATCCAAGCTGTTGTGATCGTGCAGCAATTATGGTGAGTAGTAAGGAATCAAACAATTAAGAAAGCAGGAGAAAATAACACACAGAGATTTACGTGGTTCGGCAATGTGCCTACATCCACGAGAGCGAGCGGCCGTTCTTTTTAATTATTCAAAGTAGAGTTACATCTTAAGTATTTATATAACCCTAATACGGACGTATTTACAAAAATACCTCTGTACCGCACCGCGGGGGTGTTGCCCCCGCACCCCCAACTAATCAGCGTCCCCTTTATATAAATTCCGCAAGGCAGATGCCGTCACGGGCTTCACTCCGCCCGCTCCGGCATCTGCTTTCTTGCCATTATGCACACAGCAAATATGAGTCACACATACTCTAACACAAGCAGATATAAAATTTGAGCACACCATGTTAGGAATTTGCCCATTAGCAACATTTGGCTTTTTCTTTTTGCTTTATGGACAAGGGGATCAGGTGGGGAAACTTCCTTATGTGATGTATGCTTTGGCAACATTAGACATTTGTTCGTGGTTTGAACCTGCAAAGATCACAGCTTCAGCTATGCACCAAGTTAAGCTTAAAATTTTGGGGGACTTCAAATTAAACCTGATAATGTGATCATCCCAAAACCAATTTACAAATGCATTTTAGTTTCCACTTTCAATGAAACTGCTGTTCTGTTAGATTAGAGAGAATACACAAAAATAATCTAACACGGGATTGGATGCAGGTAACACCTGGCAACCTGATAACCCTATAAAGCCCCCAGCACCCAATGTCAAAATGAAATTTTGTTCTGAATTCTTCAATCCAGAACAACAAGAATGAGGCAACAAAATGGCAGACAAACCTACAAACTTTCCCAATATCGCAAAATTTTGATGGGCCTCCCATTACTCTTTGGCCCCCTTAATGATATCAAACTATAACCTTCCACATGCACTTAATTTTGTGCCTTCCACTTGCACACTAACTAAGCATACAAGCATGAATTTGCTGTATTCTAATGAGACACCAACATTTTCTGTGTAATGTAGAGACTTATGCCTGATAGAAAGGATGAATCCTTGGCAGAAACCACTACTCTGCTCTTTTTTCTCGTGTCTTTGCACAACACAACTCAGTCAAGGAGAGAGCACACAAAACCTCACAAGTACTTAATTAACATGGTAGAATTTGGAATAAGTTGCACACCTTCCATGAAGAACATGCACATCATTCTTTGCTGGCCATAAATCAAGTTCTATGACCCTCACACCTTTTTTCAGTGCCTTTATAATTGGGACATCACTGCAATTACTAGTCAGCTGGTTTCCAGTCAAGTAAGAATTGTGCCCGGTATATATGAAGTAATGGGACAATGGAGCACTCATATCATGATGAACCTGAAATGTATAAAAAACTCAGCACTGCTAACAATGATGGTCTGCGTAACATAACTCTAACCAAATATTTCTGCAATCTGCATCTACTATAAAGCTATCAAGACTAAGATCAACATATTAGATAAGTGCAAATATACAGAACTTAACAATGGCACAAGGGAATAACTGCACTAAATTACGTTGATACCCAGAATTGAGCTCTAAATAAGTTTTGGCAATCCATATATAGAACAGTAAGTTTGGTTTGCTATACACAATATCTGTTATCAAGGAACCGTTGTTGTTTCCCGGCTCACTTATTGGGGAAAAAATGTCTTTAAATTCCACTTCTAATTGAAATGTCAGTGAATCTAGCACCAGCAATTAGCTTTCTCATAAAACTGAACCTCACCAGACTAATTTCCATTTCATGATCAAAAAGGGTTTAGTAAAATTTCCCACTAATCAGCCATCAGCTTTCAAACATGGAACAGCAGAGAGAGAGGGGAGCAAAGTATGCGACAACTTCTCAAAGAAGACGAAATAGGTTGGTTATAAGAAGTATGGCAAAAAAAAAAAAAAATCATTTGAAAATTCTATGAATTTGCTCTATTGTGTGGGCGGAGCCTTTTTTTTTTTTTTTTTTTTTTTTCATTTGGAACTATCGGAGCTCATTTCAAATTATTCTCAAAACAATTCTTAATAGATAAATACTACGTAAACTTAAAAAATAAACTTAAAAACTAGACTTGATAATCTTAACCATTGATTTCACTATGGATCCCAGCATTTATTGAGACCCACTGTCTATTCAATGGTTGAAATTATCAAGTCTAATTTTTAAATCTATCTAACATTACTCTTCCCGATATTCGGGATCCTTCTTTCCTATATTCCGTTTATCAAAAAAGTCAAAATTAAACGAACTACTTCCCCGCCCCCTTTCCCTTTTCCTCTTGAGAAAAACATTGGAAACTTCAAACTAATGCTAGATCCAAAAACAGAAACATAAAAAGTTATTGAACTAACACCATTCTCAATCAAAAATACCCAATTTTATTTCTTTCCAGGAATGTCATTGGCTATAGTAATTAATTAGTGTTTATATTGTGCGGGGTGTGTGTGAACTTGAAGGATGATGGCATACCTCAGTTCCTATTGGGGGGTTGAGATCCGCATCAAACAAGTAGTGATGAAAATCACCAAGGGTGAGAGTGGAGCGAGTGGATTGAGCACTATGGTGTCTTTTTTGGAGAATCTGCCGTACAATATCCTCAGCATGGGAGATCTTAGCTTTATCATTGCCCTGTACCTCGACAAGGAACTGCCGGAGCTGCTCCGCCGACATCTGGGTCCCACCATCCGAGTACTTCTTGAACACTTTCTTCACGTCCACCGGTGGCCCCGCCTCCGTTACTTTGTATTTTCTCGTAAAGCCCAAACAGATCCTGTAACTCCCCATTACTCTCTCTCTCACACACACACACACGCACACGCACACTCTCTATGAGGGTATGTGTATATACCAAGAATCAAAGGACCAATTGATCCGAAGAACTGAACTGAAGAAGAGAAGTCAAAGAAGAGAGAGAGAGTTCCGAGCAGATAGAGAAAGTAATGGTGACTTAGCTGCCTACGATACAACCGTTTAGGCGAATACATAAACACATTTGTTTGTATATATAAGTGGATTTTTGATTGTTTTTTTTTCTTGTTTTTGTAGGGTGGTGACTATCTGTGTTCTTATTAGAGTTCTCAGACAGACGCAGCATGCAGAACATTCCCGCCAATTTTTTAATAAGGCCATGATTACGTAGTCTCGTTACTCTCAGCGTGACGACTGTACAAACATTTTGTTTGATCACTTCAAGTTAAGGATAATCTACACTATCTTTAAAAAAAATATATGAATATGATAACGAAATTCACGGACCTGGTGAGGTAAACCTTCCTCGGTACAGTTTGTCTGCTAATTGCAGAGATGCTTTTCTCTAAAACGATGTAATTTTCAAATAGGGCAAATCTCACTTTGTCACCTAAAAGATATCAAAATTTTAATTTCTACCCTGAAAATTTAATTTTCTTACATTAAACCATGAATCGTGTAAATCTGTTTCAATGTGGTCCTGCAGCTAACGTCAGTCAGCATTTTTGTTCGTTTGCAGCTCACGTGAGAGCACTAGAAATAAACCTTCCACGTGATGTGAGAAGCACACTTGGAGGGACATAGAGAGAGACAGTGTAAGGAGACCTATGATTACGAATATTGTTATGATAGTGAACACGACTTGGATGAAGGTAATTGGTAATGTGGGAAAATTAAACTTTTGGGGGTGTAAATTGGAAATTTTGGTATTTTTTTAGGGACAAAGTGGGATACCCTTTTAAAAATAGTATTTGTGTTGCATTGTAGAGGATTTCTGTCATACCAAGCCAAGTCCCCCCCCCCCCCCCCCCCCCCCCCCCGCCAAAAAAAAAAGGAAAAAAGAAAGAACAAGGAGGACCTGGTATGAACAGTAAATATAAGCCCGTAGATAAAAGTAAACGCTGAATAAAGCAGGAGGAAAAGAAAAGCCACACGCTACAAATCAGCCAATCACACTCAGTGTTGGTTGTTAACAAAAGATGGTTGTTTTCAACTACGAAGAATTGTTTTAATCATGAGTACTTTAATAAGATTGCGATTATATAAAAAAATTGAGATATATATATAATAATTACAACAACCATAACTGGTGTTTGCAAAGATTGAAAATGTTAGCTAGAGAATTGTATGGGTCACACCATTTTTGTCCTATTCTGATATTGGACTTTAGATTTTCAATGACATAATGATATGCTTACTCTTTTAGAGAGAGAGAGAGACAGAGGACCTAATTATTAATTCTTGTGTTATGTAATGTCAATACATTTGTATGAGAATGGATTAGTTAAAGAATGAACAATAGAGAGAAGTTATTGACAACTTCACATCTTTCTTTGCAAGTTGACTTTAATCGTAATGTAAGACTTATAGGCTGAAATTTTATAAGAGATTTGTAAGAGTTTATCATTAACTGTGCTCGATAGTTGAGAGAATGGTCATATTTGAACATTTTTCTCTTTCATTGTAGGTATGGTTGTTAACCTGACACGACAGGTAAAAAATAGTGTATTTTATCTTTTGAACTGATGAATTACGAAAGGTTAATCGCGAGGGTAATATTCTGAATCGAATTCCGCCCAAAAAATCGGCTTGGAAGTTGGATAGGAATGTAAAATATCTCACATATTTTTAGTTTTAAAGTTATTAATTTTTGGGTTATTTTAACAACTCAATTACTAAATTTTTGGGCTACTTTTAAAATTAGGCTATTAAAATATAATATAAGAACATGTAAATCAACACAATAAATCAGTAACATTAAATAAAACATAATAAATCCGATAATATGAGCATATAAAACAACATTGTTTTATACCAAATATATTATTTTTTTAAAAAAAATTTAATATATGTATAGGTCATGTAGAAATGCAGAATTTTTATGGATATTCTGCATTCCGAATCGCGATTTTTGTGAAATACTAAAATATCTTTTATTGGCCTGTCAAAATTTTGTGAAATTTTAATAATTGAGTAGGGTTGGATAGGAAGGATGCATAACAGGTCGGGTGAGCGGAATTTTGGACAGCCCTAATCGTAGGTTATGAGAATTCAACTAATACAATTGATATTAATTCCAGCTGCTCTATAATTTGGGCATATTTGTATGAAGCCGCTCTGTAATTTGGATATTCATAAAAAACATATAGGACTTGTTTGGTTGCAATATTAGAAATTGATGGATTAGATATAGTAATACAGTCTAATACAATACAGAATGACAAAAGACAAGATTAAATAGGGTATTAAAATAATACGTAATTTTATCAAGTGTTTAATAATACACAATATAAGTATTGGATGATAATTATTTAATCCAAAAAGTTGTTTGGTTAGAGAATTATTTTATCGTATTAACGTTGAATTAACAAAAATATCCTCAATCAGTGTTTGTTACATTGATGACAACTTGATTTTATCAGTTAAGGGGTTATAATAGTAAATGTGTAAAATAATACGTTTAAGTTGGATTATAATACCACCTCTCTTGGTGATATTAAAAAACCTCCATAATACAGAGTTATCGTATAAAAAATATACGATAAGTATATGATCAATATACGTTTTTGAAATTAATACGGTATCAAATTTGCTTATCAAACAAAGTATTAGGCCCAATTAAATAAAAAATAGTACAATCCAATATTTAATCCCTTCATAATACGTCTACCAAACGAGCCCATAAATTATTAGAGAGAACTTGAGAGCAATTGAGATTTGAAACGGAGAAATTCTAAATTGGTGACTTGAAATGAAATGAATTAAGTTATATTTCAAGCAAGATCTTAGTCTGCAAATCCTCTCATTGGATGGTTTATAAAATTCAAAAATTACTTCTTAAATAAATATTTCTCAAAAATATTTTATCAAAAAGTGCGTGGTGATGGTGGCAATGTTGGTGGTGGCTGTTAGTGGTGATGGTAGGCAGGGATGGTGGCGATGGCAAAGTGTTTTGTAGAGAAATGATTTTAATGAAGTATAAGTTTTTTTTTTTACTTTTACTTACTTATTAAAGTGGTAAAATTGTTTTTGACTTATTAGGAAGTAATTAAAATAATGTGTTCCAAACATTATTTCTTTTAAATAGTTTATGAGAAGTCATAAATTTTAAAAACACTTTTGAAAAATCATCTAAAACACACCCAATTAATTATCTCGAGAGGTTAAAAGGCTCTTCTTTTCTTTTTTTAAAACTAGTTGAGTAGATAGAGAGATCAAACCATAAAGCCAATGAGTAAAGAAAGAAAAAAGAGAGAATAAATGCAATTTGATTTTTGTCAACAAAAGATTCCATTGTTTCATAAAATATTTCTTAATTCGAGACCTACCTACCTAGGATTACATTTGCTAAACTCATCAATTTTTTCGGTTGAAATGAATGAAACAATCACATTTTCCGACCACAACCTTACTGACTCAATTTGATTGTCATTTCATAACAGGTCACTTTATGTTCCAACGTTGAAGCGAGGGTTGACCCCTCTCCCTATGGGGGATTTTTCTCGAAAATTGATCCTCAATAAATAAAGTGCCTTTGCAAATATGTTCAATTTTGGTTTGCAAGGTGAAGAATTTAACTTCAACCAAGATGGTTTCCACGGGTCAACTTGACCCATGGACGCCAAAATGTAGGTTCAAGTTTTATGAAAAAGTTCATCAATCCCAGCAACAATAGTCAATCGATTTAGCCCAAGAAAATAACGTACTAACCAACCTGGGTTAACGGGTAATTGTTCAGTGACGTGATGTCTTATTTATCTAACCCCATTTGCATCCCTTCAAATTTCTATCATACAAAACGAACCATTTAATTAACAACAATGTTTTTTCTCTTTTTGCTTTGTCCGAATTTCCCCACCTAATCTCAAAAGAAGATTCATAAAATTTTATGTCCAATCACACACAAATCTTCTACAACAAATGCCTATTAGAGTCCTCAAAGCCAAACACAAACATCATAGTAGAAAGCCAGAGTAGGTAAAAAGTGCACAAATATACAGATGAAAATGAAGATTTCAGACAAACTCAAAGCGCATGAGAAGCCTCACTGAATTGTACTTCTCTCCCTTGCGGTCGCACAGGGGGACTGCATGTATCCCGGGCTTTAATTCAGAAACAGGTAAGCACGTCTGCCCAGCAAAATCATCTTTCTCAGACATGTCATGCTCGTGTACTTCAATCCGAAGTAAAGCTAGCTCAGGAACTGTCAATGGAAATGTGAACTCTTCACCCCAAACAGGTGTCCAATTATCCTCTTTTGTCTTTGTTTTCTTCATTACCTCATCATCAGGCACTCCAGCTATGCCAACCTGGTTTCCAGATGGATGAGTACATACAAGTGACTAGAATATGTATAATTGATTATGACATTATGTTTTGGCTGTTGATCATCACCTATGGGGTTTAATGCGCTTTGAGATATGTAATATTGACACCTTAGGAAATATCATACCAACAAGTAAGAAAAGATAAGTCAACAAGTAAGAAGGATATAAAATAGTTCTTTGAAGTTCACACTTTGATATTTTTCTGATGGCAGTGGACCATGTAAATCGCGGTCTGTGTCCTAAAACATAACTGCCACATGGCCTACGTCTCAACTGAACCGATGAATGTTACTGATTTATGATTTAAAACAATAGGTAAAGCAACAGAAAATAGATAAGTCACTGACCAACTTACCCTAGTGTAGAAGTCAGGTGGGGAATACAGATCAAAGTGAGTTTGCTTAAAATCCAAATGCCATCCATCTCCCATATAGACTTTCACCTGTGAAGTAACATAACAGTGTAAGAATAGATGCGTACAGGAGGAAGTTACGTTTGTGAAGTAGTTTGCACACCTTCAAAGTTTTCTTCACTGGCAACTTTGCTTTAGGATCAAAACCCTCATTATGGGGACCAACGTTCATCAAGAAATCAGGTTTTTTCACATAACCACACCCTCCGTTGGATCTGAACATCCCCTGCATCAACCAAAGTGCTCTACCATATCCCTGCCATTGGAACAACAATGGATCAGTCTCTGAAAGATTCATGAAAAAGCATTTTTTTTGCTAAATTCTGAACCAACACTCCTATTCCATCCTTCTTGCACTATCAGAAAGTGTTTTTGAACAAACAAAATACGGTGTAACTGCAAAATTCTACTCTATTTTCCATTGAACCTATGTTTTCAAGTTGCAGATGGTCCAGAGTTCACATTTTCTTCTTTTTGATAAATAAAATTTGTTGCAGGATCGATGGTGGTATTAATCTAGCTACGCACCCTCATTTGCGTCCCTCCCAATATGCCTGTGATAGTCATTCAAATTATTTTCACATACTACTGATATCTTTCAGATCAACTACTAGGAGTTTATGCGCTACCTGAAACTAATACAAGACAAGGGCAGATTAAAGGGACATGTTACAAGCCCAATCTCTTACAAAATAAGGCAATACGGTTACAAGTATTTTTCTTTCTTTTTATTTTATTTGCTATCAAGGCAGTTGGGGAATGAGTAAAACATACTAATGGACCAGTAAAATGTCTCAGAGAACCTAGAATATTGGTGGTCCAGCACTGTCTTCAACAGACAATTTAACTCTCAAGGAAATAGCTTTACTTGGAAGAATATACAGTGGAAGATCACTTAAAATGCATATGCTAGCAATCGAACATATAGAAACTATAAAAATAAACTGAGATGCTTCATCCGTAAAGCTGGCAGGTAAACTTATAAAAGTCACTACAGGCGGTTGCAAATAATAAAATAGAACTGAACCTGCATATTAAATGCAACCATCTGAGCTCCATGCATCCAACCAATGAATGGCTCGTAGTTAGATGAGTTAAACCGAGTACCTTTAGGGTACACCCTCAGGATATTCTTCTGGGTGAACCTAGCGATAGATGAACACCCATCAGAGTTGTTCCCTCTAAAACTCTAATATAACCAGAAGCAAAACCATGAATGTTAACCATCTTTATGGAATGAAAAAAAATAAATTAGGTATCTCACAATAGAATGATTTATATATACCTCAGAACATCCAGTCCATGGGATTCAGCTGCCTTTTCTAGTGCTTGTTCACTCAAACTGAGGCGTCTAACTCTATCAATTTCTACTTTTAGTGCCTCCTTTAACCCACCTTTGGGTTTTCCTGCATGGATAGTTATTAGACGCTTATATTCAAGACATGGTCGTAATTTTTTATCATCATCGTCTGCTTCATCGTGGTTGTGATCACTCCTATCACTATCACTCTGCAAGCCAGGTAAACAAATATCAATAATTAAGCAACACAAGATCAATGTGTAAGATGGAAATGATGCTAAGACATGAAATCTTTATATAGTCGCACACCGTATCATTGTCTTCTTGGTCAGCAGTAAGGCTTGATGGCTCCTTTCCCCAAACATCTTCATCCGAATCCTTCAAATTCTGCGAGTTATTTCTCTTGTTCTTGAAACTGTCAGCTTCAAGGTACTCCTTTGGAGGTTTGGTTGAAATAATAATGCGATATTTCAACTCTTCGGGAGAAGGAAATTCGTTAAAGCATTCTGATTCAGGGTAAAACAGTGTTTCCCCAAATGTCTCAGTGACCATCTAGAAAAAGAACAAATGAGATCATTTAGTAGGTGTTTGTAATTAAAATGGAAGCCTTTAAATCCCTGAAAGATGCTAGATATCCACCTGTGCTGCTTTAGCCTGAAGATCTGGTGTGAGGTGGTCTTCCAGAGTTATTATGACAGGGTACGGAGAGGCACAAAAGGCATTTTCTTTGATGGATTTTAGACATGTTTTAAGTTCCACAGGAGTTGTCGCAGTCCTACATTATACAATACACAACTTTTACAAATTCCAGAGAACATATATACTGGAGGAAAGAAAAAGAATGAGTCTCACAGAAGATCCATTGGTAATAGGAACATGAAATGTGTCAGAGCAACATAACATACTGAATGTACAAAAACAATATTTTAATGTTTATACATGCCTAAAACTTTTTCCTTTTGATAATAAGAATCCGCAAAAAGTCTCCAAACTGGGACTGGAACCCGTACCTGTGATCAATTTCCCTAGAGCCTATCATCCAAGCAGAGATAAATTTTTAGTCAACTTCTATAAGAATCCAATCTTCATGAATATTTCTAATTTTTCTTTCAGTTTCCAGGAAAGGAGGTTGGGTCCGAATATTTCCTTAGTAATGTATCATTTGACAAACATAGACACTTGTACATAATGAGGATCTCCAAAAGCTGCAGCTTCAGCAATACAACAAGTTAAGGTTTAATTTCTGTGCCTTCAAAATTAAACCTGATAATACCACCATCCCACAACAAATGACCCATTACTTTCCATTTTCCACTTGAAAGGAAAATGCGGTCCTATTTTATGCATCATGAAAGACAATCCCTCATAAAGAAACAACGAGAAATCAGTAGGGCTGATCACAAAAGAGGAAGCAACTAGCACAGGGTTGGACGCAACTAGCACCTGGTGACCTAAGAATCCTCTAAAGCAGCAACACCAATGTCACAAGGAAATAATATTCCATAATCTCCAATCTACGTGTCTCTGCCCTGATTTCTTCTCCCAGGAAAAAGAATTCAACATCTATAAAAAAGATTCAACATTCACGATCGCTTGAAACCCTTCCATGCTTGATTGACTTGTATTGATAATTGGCACCAAACAATATCACAATGACTCAAGTTTTCAGTAGATGGAATCCAAGCATAATGCTTTTGAAGACTCCAAGGTTCATACAAATGAGGCAACTAATAAAAACAAGATTTGCTAGTAAGCATTTATTTGGTGCAATAGGAAAAAGCTCTCACAATGTCTCCAGGCTTCAGTAGATGGAATCCAAGGATAATGCTTTTGAACCATCCAAGGTTCGTACATATGAGGCAACTAATAAAAACAAGATTTGCTACTTAACATTTATTTGGTGCAATAGGAAAAAGCTCAAGATAATAAGTGTTGAAATGCAGGTTTGACAAGTTAGCAGTTACTTTGTGCAATTAAAATTTGAAAATTTAAGTATATTCCTAGCCTAATCATCCAACACTCATTTTGATGGGGTCTGCCAAGCAATTTTTTTAAAGTACAGAGACTTTATTTGATTATCAGTATGCATTTCCAGTGTATACCCTGTAATATATATGCTACTGGTCTGCAGTATCAACTCATGCCATATTAACATCCAAGAAGATCTACAAGAAGTACAAAATTATTTTTCTGTACATTCTGCCTAGCACTAATGCTATTGGTACTTAATTATGGACATAATTTAAGGATATAATGCATTAGGACTATTGGATTGATAGTGGAATGCATTTAATGCTATGACCCACTGATAATCTAATAACCACAACCATTATGTCCTAGTGTCACACCCTAACTGACTTGGGTGCATAATGGCGGTATTGGTGGCACCTTGCACCAAGGCACGCCATGAGATTGAATCAAGGTGATGCAGCTAAGCGGTTCGACAAATTAGTGCGGACTGTGGCAGCATGAGACCACCCGGCTGAACATGGTAGCACGTGGTGGGCTCAATTGAGGCAATGTGAGTACATAGCTTCAAATTGCATGACATGGGCTGAACCTAACATGCACAATGGTTCGTGAGGCAAAGTTGACGACAGAATTTGGGCACATGGCTGCTCAATGCATGTGACCAAGAAGATGTGGGCAGTTGCAGGCAGATGCTGAACAAGGCTTAGTTTGTGGGAAGCAGTTCTAAACGTTCCTAACCTGATTCTATTCCAGATGCATGCTAATGAGGGGCAATTCCACATCAGTTACTAAATGGGTGGAATTGTCTGCCAGGTATTGCACAGCCTACTGCCAAGTTTGCTATGGAATAGTAGAATGTGTGTAACTACCCTTTGACAGATGGGTGTCATTTGCCATACTCTTTGTATAAATAGGAGTGCTTGGACATTCTGATAGTCAGAGTGTGTTTTGGTTTTGAGAGTTTCTTGTAAATTGTTGAGTTCAATATATAAGGTTTGGGAGTGTTGTCCCAGTAAATTCGTGTGTGCCTTCTGTGTGAGTTTCTGTCCCTTGTTCTTCAGATTGTGTGACTGGTTGCAGTAGCAACGCCTTCACAGGTAGTCTCAAAACGAAAAAGTGTTGTTACCTCGTGACAGTTTGGTATCAGAGCGTTGGTTTTGGCAAAAAGATCAACTATGGCTGGCAGAATGAATGCAGAACTGAGAGAAAGGGTGGCAAGTTTTGAGGGGTTGGTTGGTCCTCCATAGTCCGATGATGCTGTAGCCCTTTTTGTGCAACTTGAATTGTTGTATCAGTGATTTGAGGAGATGCGTGTTGCACAAGAACAACTTCAAAAGACAGAACCTGAACACTTCAGTCGAGTAAAAAACGAAGTCGTTGACGTGCTACGATTTCCACATGGACCGATAAAATGGGAGAAAAATTGAGTTCTCCGGAGACAGACGTTTCAGTGCTCAAGAGGGCACTGCAGAATACTTCTTTGGCTTCTGGCAGTGAAAGTACTCAGAAAACTAAGGTGCCTGACCTTAAGCCTTTTACAGGCTGTCGTAACGCTAAAGAACTCGAGAACTTTTTATGGGATATGGAGCACTTTAAAGCAGTCCGTGCACCAGATGCTGAAAAGGTAGATCTCACTAGCATGTACCTGTCTGGTGATGCTAAATTATGGTGGCAAACACGATCTGAGGACAAGTCTCGTCCTTCAATTACTACTTGGGAGTCTCTGTCCAGTGAAATGAAGGAGCAATTCCTTCCGAGCAACACGGCTTGGCAAGTCCGTGATGCATTGAGGAAACTTTGACATACGAGTACCGTGAGGGAGTACGTGAAGCAATTCTTGTCTCTAATGCTTGATATCAAAAACATGTCAGAGGAAGATAAGCTGTTCAATTTCATGTCTGGCCTTCAAACTTGGGCACAGGCTGAACTTCGTCGGCAAGGGGTGAAGGACTTACATGCTGCTATGTCTGCAGCAGATGCGTTGATTGACTACAAGACGCAGGCAAATCCTTCGGAGAAGGAATCAAAAGGGAAAGTCAAGTTCCCTAAGAAGGACAAGCAGAAGAAAAAGACTGAAAAGTCTAGTAGTGTAGCAAAATAGACTGACAAGCCCTCTTCATCAAAGGGAGGTGCTGACTCAGGTTGTTTTATCTATAATGGCTCTCATCGTGCCAGAAATTGCCCCAAGAAGGAAAAACTCAGTGCCCTTATGGCTGAAGAAATTGACTGTTCTGACGGATCAACACGAGTCAACCCATTACAACTCCTTAATGCATTTCACAAAGAGGAGACAGTGGCAAAAAGGGGGTTGATGTTTGTGCAGATTTGCCTGAACAATGTGACTGTCCAGGCAATAGTGGACACAGGTGCAACACATAATTTTGTTTCTGACCGCGAGGTGTAATGACTTGGTCTGACTTTGGTGAAAGACTCTAGTCAAATTAAGGTTGTTAATTCATAGGCAAAACCAGTAGACGATGTTGCTAGAGAAGTCCCTATAAAAGTTGGTGATTGGCAAATACCATGCGACTTTATGGCAGTCCCTCTCAATGATTTTCAGGTAATCCTTGGATTAGAATGTCTAACAAAGGCAAAGGTGTCTGTTATGCCTCATCTGCTGGGGATGTTCGTGATGGACATGCCCAGTCCTTGTTTTGTTCCCCTCACCAAAGCCAAGTCTTCGGGAGAAATGTTGTCTGCCTTGCAAGTGAAAGATGGCTTGCAGAGAGGAGAAGTAACATACTTGGTTGTTCTATTTGAGGAAGAGGAGTCCAAAACATTGCAAGTCCCTGAACCAATGCAACACTTGTTGGATGAATTCAAGGACGTGGCACCCAAAGAATTGCCAGCAAGATTACCACCAAGGCGGGAGATTGACCATGTTATCGAGTTGATTCCAGGGGCAAAAATTCCTGCCCAGGCTCCTTATCGAATGTCTCTATCAGAATTGGCGGAACTGAGGAAACAGCTTGGTGGTCTGTTAGACAACGGGTTCATTAGACCTTCCAAAGCCCCCTATGGAACCCCTGTTCTGTTTTAGAAAAAGAAGGATGGATCTTTATGGCTTTGTATAGATTACAGAGCTCTCAACAAAGTTACTGTCAAAAACAACAATCTAGTGCCGCTTGTTAATGAATTGTTTGATAGACTAGGGAAGGCAGTCTTTTTCACCAAGATGGACTTGTGGCTAGGATATCATTAAGTCAAAATTGTGGAAGGAGATGAGGCGAAAACTGCTTGTGTGACGAGGTATGGTTCATATGAGTTTTTAGCCTTTCGACTTAACCAATGCTCCTGCCACATTCTGTAATTTGATGACCAATGTATTTCGGGAATACTTGGACCATTTTATGGTTATTTATTTGAATGATATAGTTGTTTATAGTCAGACCCATGAGGAACATGTTGAGCACCTCATGTTGGCTTTGACAAAGTTGAGGAAAGCACAACTGTATTTGAAATCGGAAAAATGTGAGTTTGCCCAAAAGAAAATCTCATTCCTTAGGCATATTATTTCTACGGGCATGGTGAAGATGGACCCAAAGAAAGTTGAGGCCATTGTTGATTGGTCTGTCCCTACTAAGGTTACTGAACTACGTTCTTTCCTTGGTTTGGCAAACTATTACCGAAAATTTGTGAAGAATTATTCAAAGAAGGTCGTTGTGCTGACTGATCTTCTAAGGAAGGATAGGACTTGAAACTGGTCCTACGAATGCCAGGAGGCATTCGATCGATTGAAGGTGGTGGTGATGACTAGCCTAATTTTACGCTTGCCTAATTTTGATTTGCCTTTTGAAGTTCATACAGATGAATTAGACTTTGCTCTTGGAGGGGTGCTGGTGTAGAATGGGCATCCTGTGGCGTTTGAAAGCAGGAAGCTGAACGATACCGAGAGGCGGTATTCAGTACACGAGAAGGAGATGACAACAGTCATTCACTGCATCAATGCATGGAGGCATTACCTGTTAGGGAAGCATTTCCTTGTGCTGACAGACAATGTGACTACCAGTTGCTTTAATTCCACGAAGAAGCTGACACCAAAACAAGTAAGATGGCAGGACTTTCTTGCTCAGTTCCATTTCACGTTGCAGTACAAGCCTGACAGTGCAAATCAGGTTGCTGATGCCCTCAGTCGGATTCCAGTTGCTGATGGGATGATGGTTGTACTCAGCCAGATTACAAGAGATATGCTGCAAAGAATTCAGGATCAAACAAAGGATGATCTCGTGACCAGCTTACTGCTGAGGCAGGTCCAAGAGGGGCTGACTCGGCGGTTTTGGGTGGAGGATGGTGTTCTTTATGCCAAAGGAAGGAGACCCTATGTTCCAAAGTCAGGTGGACTTCGACAGATGTTGCTAAAAGAAACTCATGATACTCGATGGTCAGGGCATCCGGGACAGGAACAGACCCTTGCCTTACTTACGGAAAGTTATTATTGGCCTCGCATGGAAGCTGATGTTGAGCTTTATAGGCGCACTTGTCTAGTGTGCCAGTAGGACAAAACAGAAAGGAGGAAGATGACGGGTACTTTGGAACCTCTCCCTATTCCAAGCAGACCTTGGGAGAGTATTTCCATGGATTTCATCAATGGTTTGCCCAAGGTGAATGACTTTACTTCAATATTTATGGTTGTAGACAGATTTTCGAAGTATGACACCTTCATTGCAGCTCCAAAAGTATGCTCTGCTGAAGTTACTGTTCAGCTGTTCCTCAAGCATATTATAAAGCTTTGGAGTCTTTCGCTGGATATAATCAGCAACAGAGACACTCGGTTTACTGGCCGGTTCTGGACAACCTTATTTGAACTGTTGGGCACACAGCTCAACCTTTTCACCAACAATCATCTGCAGACAGATGGGCAGACTGAACGGGTTAATGCATTGCTGGAGGAATATCTTAGACACTATGTCACAGTGAACCCGGACAATTGGGTGGATTTACTTGATGTAGCCCAATTCAGTTATAATTTGTAGTAAAGCTCTTCCACTGGAATGAGCCCATTCGAGTTGGCAACCGGCCAACAGCCTCTTACTCTCTATGAAATTGCCAAGCAGAAGTCTCAAGGGAGATGTCCTGCAGCATACCGCTTCGCTCGGGGCCAACCAAGAGAGGACCGACGAGACAAAGGACTCCCTGACTAAGGCAGTGAAGAGGATGAAGAAGTGGGCAGATGAGAAAAGGAGAGCAATAGAGTTTGAAGTGGGTGACAAAGTGATGTTGAAACTGACCCCACTAATCTGGAAGAAGATCACTCGGAAGTCTGCACATAAGGGACTGATCCAGCGCTATGACAGCCTTTTCCTTATCACAAGAAGGATTGGCAGGTTGGCGTATAGGCTGTATCGTCCTAGTCGTCTCAAGCTTCATCTTATTTTCCACGTTGCCTTCTTAAAGCCATACGTTGAGGACCCAGAGGACCCTAGCAGATATGCTCGGCATCGGACACCTCCAACAATCAGGAAGCAATTCACAGAGATAACAGAAGCTATTCTTGACCATAAGATTGAGGGAATGAGTAAGAAAAATATAAGAACTCATTACCTAATCAAGTGGAAAGGGAAAACACCGGAGGAAGTCACTTGGGAGAAAGAGACGACATTGTGGCATTTTGAGGATCTCAGCAAGCAGTACCATGCCTCCATTCCAACAAGGTCGTTGGATACTTCAGATGGGGGTGGCTAGTCACACCCTAACTGACTTGGGTACATAATGGCGGTCTTGGTAGTACCTTGCACCAAGGCACGCCATGAGATTGAATTAAGGTGATGCGGCTAAGCGGTTCGACAGATTGGTGCAGACTGTGGCAGCACGTGGTGGGCTCAACTGAGGCAATGTGGATACATAGCTTTGAATTGCATGGCATGGGCTGAACCCAGCATACACAATGGTTTGTGAGGCAAGGCTGACTACTGAATTTGGGCACATGACTGGCACATGGCTGCTCAATGCATGTGACCGGGAGGATGTAGACAGTTGCAAGCAGTTGTTGAACAAGGCTTAGTCTGTGAGAAACAGTTCTGGGCGTTCCTAGCCTGATTCTGGTCCAGATACATGGTAATAAGGGATAGTTCTATATCAGTTACTGAATTGGTGGAACTGTCTGTCAAGTGTTGCACAGAGATCAAGCTCGTTGGCCAAGTTTGCTATGGAATAGCAGACTGTGTGTAACTACCCTTTGGTAGATGGGGTGTCATCTGTCATACTCTTTGTATAAATAGGAGTGCTTGGGCATTCTGATAGTCAGAGTGTGTTCTGGCTTTGAGAGTTCCTTGTAAATTGTTGAGTTCAACATATAAAGTTTGGGAGTGCTGTCCCAGTACATTTGCGTGTGTCTTCTGTGTGAATTTCTGTCCCTTATTCTTGAGATTGTGTGGCTAGTTGCAGTAGCAATACCTTCACAGATAACCTCGAAACGAAAAATGAGTTGTTACCCCGTGACACCTAGCCTAGTGGCCATATGTCTTCCATCTAATCATACCAATTTTAGTGGTATTGTGTGTACTCAATCAGTCTAGCTAAAACAGCCAACTACATATGCAATTACCATATGGCTATGGTTGATACTTGATAGAATAAGCAAACAAGCGGGAGTTTTAAGACCTAGTTATTGTTTTCTAAAGGGAACATGGACTGGACAACTGACAATCCAAACAAATGATTCACTAATACATATTGAGATGATGGTCTATAATAAGCAAAATATATAGTAATAACTTAAGGAAGAGCATTAATAATAATACATCATAGATGTTATGGGTACATAAGGTGAACCAATAACAAACATACTTAGCAAAATGTAGTTTAATGACACATTAAGTCATCTAAATTAGGTATACATACAGTATTATATCTGACAGAAAAATTATTAAATTAGAATGAGCTCTGGTTTTATGCTTCACCCGGTGCCTTTTGTTACTTCGGGGAATATAACCAACTTTTCTAAAACTCAAGTTATTAGAAAGACCGTTACCTCAATATTTATATAATTCAACACGAACCCTCACATGCGAGCCATATTTTGAGCAAGTAAGTGCAAGTCTTATAATTACCAGGCTAGCAGCGAGCTTTGAATGCAAGTTCTATTGCTTTAATACCATCTTAAACTATCTAACTTCCTAAAAACTTGCGCTATTAGAAATAGTGTTACATATATTTGTTATACATCAATACACAAATAGGATGAATCTGTGGCAGAAAGCACTAGCCCAATCAGTCAACAAAACATATAAAGCCTTGCAAGCACTTAATTAAAATAAAAAAATTTTGGATATAAGTTGCGCACCTTCCATGAAGAACATTCACATCATTCTTGGCAGAATTTGGCCACACATCAAGTTCTATTACCTTCACCCCTCTTTTTAGTGCCTTTATTATTGGGACATCACTGCAATCACTGGTCAGCTGGTTTCCAGTCAAGTAAGAATTGTGCCCGGTGAATATGAAATAATGAGACAATGGAGCGCACATATCATGATGAACCTGAAAGGTAAAACAAAATTCAGCACTGCTAACACTAAAGATCTACCGAACAGTAACCAACTTTCTATACATCTACAAAAAAGCTATCAACACTAAGATCAACATGTTGAAATCCATATAAACAGAATGCAATGACAGAGAATAATTACTCTAAATTATGTCGTAATCAATCTCTAAAGAAGACTCTTGGCAGTCCAAAGAACACTAAATTCGTTCTGTTTCACGCAGAATTTATGTTGTCAAGGAACCATGGTTCTTTCCCACTTCACTGTTGGAAATAAAAAGATCATCAATAACTCTAGTGAATCTAGAAAACTGCAATTAGCTTTCCATTCCAAAAAAAAACAACTGCAATTAGCTCTCTCAGAAAACTAAACCTTGGATTCCAAGTATCTTAATGTGGGAAAACTCACCATTTGAAAGCCTCATATGTATTTGTCTCTTCCCCAAAATAAACTTTGTCAACTCTGACCCTTTAGCTATTATAGTCTCGGTTCATCATTTCTATTCTCCCCTTTTTGGGAAAAAAATCAAAATTGTACGGATAATTTTCCCCTTGAGAAAAATAATTGGGTATTTCAGAATTAATTCTGATTTCCAAAAACCAAAAAAAATGCAAACATTAACAGATTCAATTATTGAACTATCACAATGGTCAATAGAGACAAACATGTCACAAGATTCCAAATTTCATTTTTTCCGAAGAATGTCATTGGCTATGTATATTAATGTCCATAGTTTGTGACTCTGTGTGTGTGTCTGAAGGTGATCATGTACCTGTGATCCAATTGGGGGGTTGAGATCAGCGTTAAAGAGGTAGTGATGGAAATCATCAAGAGTGAGAGTGTGGCGAGTGAACTTAGCAAGATGATGTCTTTTCTGGAGAATCTGCTGTACAATGCCCTCAGCATCGGAGGACGTAGCTTTATCATCGCCCTGTGCCTCAACAAGGAAACGCCGGAGCTGCTCCGCCGACATGTGCGTCCCACCCTCCGAGTATTTATTGAACGATTCCTTCACATCCGATGGTGGCTCCGCCTCCTTTATTGCGAATTTCCTCGTAAAACACATACATACCCTGTATGTCCCCATCTCTCTCTCTCTCTCTCTCACACACACAATCACCCTCTCTAGATGGCACAGAGAGAGACACACACAATCACCCTCTCTATGTGGGTTTGTGAATATAGCATAGAAATCAACGGTTCAACTGATATGAGGGATTGAACTGAAGAAGAGAAGTAAGAAGAGTGAGAGAGACGAGAGAGAAATTAATGGTGACTTTGCTAGCTGCCAGTGCATATACATACATACATATATATGTATATATATATAGCATTACTCGTATATAATTGTCTTGTTTTTTCCCTGTTGTTTAAGGTGATAGAGATGACCTGTCTTTTGGGTTCATATTAGCGTAACGACAACCAGGACGAACTCATCGATCCGTTGACCAAGAATGTGCTTCAATACATCGGATTTTATTGATACTGTGCCTCACATGTGCATTGATTTTCATAGTTGGCCTTTGGACCCTACCGTGGTGATTAGAGCCCTGTGGACTGATTAATAAGTCGTACCCAACTCTTTTCCTCGTAATATAAAAATATTATTATAAATTTAAATACAAATATCAGAAAATTACTTTTTAATATTGTATTTCTAGTTTTTTATTTAATAAAAAAATAAAATACATATAATTTTTTATTTATTGTTTTATTTTACGTGACCATTACCTCGATAACAACTACTAAGTGAGATTTAAAATTAAAATTATTTTTGATATTATTTTTCAGTTTATTACTAGTTATGATGTACATAAAATGACATTACTCTTATCCACGAGATACACATGACATGGTCTTTGTTTTATTTATGACAGTGAAACCCCAACTCAGAGCAAATAGTATTAAAAAAGACCTGGGCGGATTAGTCATGAGTTTACTTCAGAAAGTCTTATGGTTTATTGGTAAGTTGTAAAGTATGCACGATTAAGCACACCGTAACATTTACATTATCACTAGTCAATAATTATACTTTTAAATTTCACGATGGAGAACAAACAAATGACCTAATAATTTATTCTTATTTCTAAATTAAAAACCTTTGATGTCTAGTTGTTACTTGGTACAACTATTAATGTTTACTACCATGAATCTCTACCAACCAACCAACCAACCAACCAATTTCTATGAACTATATTTTATGATAGAATTGTCATAGATATCTTTTTTGTTAATCCTTTAGTCTGAAATTAGGACTTGACTATATTACAACTAAAATAATTTTGGTACTATACTTCTAAAATTTATTATTTCAAAGGGTATTTTTACAACTTTTGTAGGTTATTTTATAATTAAAATTTTTTATCACTTTTATGAGTATTTTTAATACTGTTATAGGTGTTTTTACTACATTTGTGGTAACTATTTTTTTAAGTACAAATAAATTTATTACTTTTGCGGAGGATTTACCACATTTATGGGTATTTTTATCACATTTGTGAGTGTTTTTATCATTATTGTAATAACTATTTTTTTTTGTACCACGATAAAAATAAAATTACTCACAAATATAATAAATTTCGGTACTATAGCCAAGTCCCAGAAACTAACATTATTTGAAGAATAATGGAATATTTTTCAGCAAAAAAGGAGAAGTGTTATTTGTTTCATCTATACATACAACAAATCAAATATACATGAGTGCATTGAAGGGATTAGATGGTAATCCAGTGGTGAGGAAATTGGACATGTAAGGAAGGAACAGTTAGCTTAGTATTAAAAGCACGTGGTTATTGTAAGTAAAGTGAACGCAGCAGAATAAAGGAGGACATGAAGCAGCGGTGGTGTTCACAACTGCACATGATAGTGTGAACACCTTTACATTTATTTGTTTGGACCCTACATTTGTTTGCCAAGAAGCACGGTACCACCAAGTTCCCACTAAAGCAACACCACCTCCCTCCACCTTGTAATTGATTGTTGGGCTCCTTTTAACTTATCATATTTTGAAGGATATTTTCTTTATTTTTTAATAAAAGGCCTTAATTAAAATATAATTTTAATAAATTACTCATGATATCTTTTAAGAAAAATTTTATTTACATCTTCTCTCGATAGACATAGTTTCAATAAAACTCCCTCTGTTTTATAATTTATTTACCTATTAAAATTTAATTCAACCGAATAAAATTTATTTTTAATTGGTTTGAATTAAATTTTAATCAACTCACATTAAATTTTAATCGGCCCGAATTTTGATAAGTAAAAAAATATAAATTTTAATTAACTTGAATCGAATTTTAATTGACACAAATTTTAATAAGTAAAAAAAATATAAATTTTAATCGACTCAAATCGAATTTTAATCAGTGCTAACATCTCAGGTTGAGTTCAAATCACCTCAAATTTTAATTCGTAAAAAAAAAATTAATCGGCTCAAATTAAATATATAAAAAAATAAATTTTAACCAGTTTGAAATTTAATATGTAAAAAAATAAATTTTAATTGGCTCGAATTTTATGTAGAAAGATTATTTGGGATTTATGTAGGGAAAATTTTAGTATTTTAAATAATTTTTTTTTTGTTAGAAATGATGGTTTAACGACAGGGGATGTCAGTGATAATTAAATATAAATTAAAGAGGTGTTAGTGATATTTTAGATAATAAAAATGTGTCTTTAAAGATACCGTAAGTTAAAAAAGGTGTGTGACTAAAATTTTTCCTCGAGACACACAAATTCTCTATGAGGAGTTTTAGTTAATATAAGAACTTAAAAGAAAATGCTATTTATATTTAAAAAGTTGACATATTTGTTGACTTGACGAATTATAACCATTTAATATATTATAAGTCACAATAAATGGTCGAATTTATAGCTAAATTAATAATAATAATTGATTAAATCAGTTTTTTAAATATAGAAGAGACCAAATCATCCCCACCTAAGGAGGAGTCAGTTCAAAACCCAAAGGAGCATCCACTATATGAAAGCATTCGAGTTTATATATTTTCACAAAATATAATTTTGTTATTTATAATCACCTTCAAACCATGTGTGTCCACTATCAAACCTACAAATATACTCAAATTCATAATCTCAAAGTATCACACCATTCAGCCCATTTCATTCATAGAGCTATCCCTAATCATTGCTTTTACCCATTACTATTCTATGAAACCATCATCATACAAACTGGGTTAGTGCGCTACTTCAGGACAGGACAGGACAGAAATCATCATGCATAGGCGACTGCCAAAAATGATCAGAGAGACAAATTAGCTTAGCCAATGGTCCTCCTCATTTTTTTGGATACATAGCATAGCGCATGCAAAATTAGATGATCGATATCACCTACCCCCCCAAAAAAAAAAATAGTCAATTTTCAAAAGATTTACTGTACCAAGTTCCATTAAAAATAGTAACTTGCATGTAGTGAATAGTCTAGATTTCGGATATTGGATTATAATCATCCTATCTTGTTATGAGGTTGCCTAATCCCTCGCGGCTAAGAACAGTTCGTATGAAAGAGCTCTAAAATTGATCTCCAAATTCCCCAGTATAGGAAAGCATTGAGGATAACTAAAAAGAGTATTAATTCAGGAGGCTGTCATGTTTGAAGGAAGTGGAATACCTTGAACGATAACTAAAGTGATTCAATGTAGTGATGGTATAAATATGGATGTTATCGGGGATAAATGCAGTGACCTTAAACTAAATTTGTACTAGAAAATAAACAAAACAAGAAGTGAAGTGGTTTACCGACTAAAAAATTTGACTAATTCAATGTGATGGAATCCCTTACTCTTAAGGGTTTTTTATTGTTATGTGAGGGAAGAAGACGATTACAATTCTCTCGAGAGTATATTTGTACATTCTTTGGGCAATACAATGGTCTGTCTGTTTATACACTACGATAGTGTGGTTCTCATGCAATGATGGTGTTGCCAATTTGTTAGAATATTGGGGGAATGTTGGGATGTCAGAGACTACATTTCCCAGGTATGACATGGTCTTCTAAAAGTAGATGATTGAGCACTAATAATCCTATCCGTAGGTGAGGTCTGGACTCGAGAGGCACTCTTTGTCCCTCTTTCTCTGATTGGCCCAAGTTATTTTAGTTTACGGAACGGCTCCTTGACCCCAACTTGTGCCCAACCTGAGTTGACCTGTCTTTCTTTGTTGTCGCGGGAAGTCGTCTTCGAAGATGACTTTATTTTTAGTATAATCAAAAACCATTGTTTAGTTGACGCAGATGTTGATCTCAAAGGCTAGTAGTTGACATTCAACATCCTCCAACAAACATAGAACTTGGGAACATATACCACCATTGGAAAGCTAAGCACTAGTGAATACTATTTTGGTAAGAAGGCGCTAGCCATCATGGTTGATGGGACATTTTCAAACACACCAAGATGACGACACGTGTACTCGGCGCCAATGAAAGCTCTCTGTTGTGATTCTGACACGTCCTCGTCGGTCTACAAACCCCTTCCCCGAGGGTACTGATCATGGGGATCAAGGATCCCCAATACGTCATGGGACCGACACGTATCCCTCGATCAGTTTGGGTATATCGGTATCTGTCTGCGTGGTGTTTCTTCTCCTGCAGGGGCTATGGATTGACAGATTACCAGCCTAGGCTGGGCTAGACTAGTCATCATAACATCGGCCTACTCAAATGGTGTCAGGAGGCACAAGAAAGCAAAAGGCTCAATCAAACGAAAATAGGCACATGGCACATTGTGTCAGGTCAGAGACGAAAAGATCAGAATGTCCTTGCTAACACACGACTTGGGAGGGCGAGCATTTAATGCATCCTTCCCTTGATGAGACAATATTTAATGCATAAGAGCCTGGAAGTAAAAGGTAATAAATGTTCCTATGCCGGGGCATTTAATACATCCCTGTCGAGAGAAGGTTATTAAACACTCGCCAGACTGAGAAGAAAACATTAGTTGTTCGGGGTGCCGAACAATTATGAATGAAGACATTTCTCATAGAAATTAGTGTGCACACTACTCATCTCTAATGATTACCTACTAGTTACGCTGTCAACGATGATGAGTTTTGTAAGGTATAAATAGT